ACCTACCTTAAGTTTTTTTTTTTCTCTCTCTTTTCTCTCACATCAGTGCTTAAAAGCTCTTTTTTTTTTTTTTTTTTTTTTTTTCTGGGAACAGCTACGCTGCAAGAGGCAGTATTCACGCACAGTAATTTTTTATTCTCTTCACCTAAGAGGCTGTAAGAGTGCTCTTAGTGCTCTACCTGATAGTCAAACCTGAAGCTTAGATCACTAAGTAGCTTCACTAGGCTTTTTCCTTGGAATCACTCCACTGCTGAAACACTTCTGAAACACTGAAAGCCCTCCCTGGAGGGTTTGCATTGGTGTACTTTTTACATGCACAGACTTAGAGCAGTGTTCGTAAGCTTTGTGTTGGAAGGAATTGCTGCTATGCCTCTATTAAGTGCCCCTCTTGGATAAATATAACATGATATAAAACGCAAGTGATTTCACACATGCTAATACCACACAGCACGATGAGGATTTGAATCGATTAGCTGAGGATAATCTCAAATGGATGGAAGAGCTTAGTTTAACAGGTTAACTACTGTGGTGTTTTAGGATTTTTACTGTTCCCACCCCCAGAATAACCCTAGCACACAATATGGTAGCTCAGACTGACAAACATTTCCAGAATATCTATGAAAGTTATTTTTCTGTTTCTCACAGTGTGCAAGACACTGGCTGGCCTTTGCTGTGGGACCTACCCTGCAGAGAGCCTGCAGAACACACGCTTCCTCTTCACTTTGCTCCCTTCCCCTGCCCTGCTGCTCCCATCTTCCTGCCAGGAGGTGGTGGCCCAGGGGTGGCAAGGGACAGATGGAGCCACGGCTCTGTCCCACTGAACTCTGGCCAGGCAAGCTGGCTGCCTACAGGAAACAAAGCGTGTTTTCCACTAGCAAAACCCTACAGAAAATCAGGGAAAAAAAAAAAAAAAAAAAAAAAAGAAAGCATAATCTCTTCTAGACAACTCCAAAAAGTGTTCAAAGCCTTTCTTTAAAGTGAATGTGGGAAGTTTTCTATTGGGATTAGCTTGGTTAATACAGAACACTGCTGAAAAGAGCACCTAAAGTGAGGGCTCTGCAAGATGCCCCATGGCCAGCCTGCCTGAGGCACTCTCAGGCGTTCCCCACTGTGTGTGCTGCACCCCTCCCACTGTCTGCATGTGGCCCCAGCACGTATCGGTGATGGTGCCCCAGCCTCTGGTAGATGGGCTGGAAGGCAGACTGGGGGCATCAAGGTTTGAAATTAACACAGATTTCCAAAGAATGTCTGTCGGATCCCCAAGTCTCTTACATGGCTCAGCACCGTTCTTCTTCCCACTGTGTTATAGTCTCTAGGAATCAGGTCAGTTAAATGCCACGGAGATTCTTTGCTTTGTTTGCACATCCACAAGCAGTTTTAACAAGCCAGCAGCTAGCTGAGGTATTCCAGGAAAAGCGTGCACACTGTGAGTGCCAAGCCTGCTCTGAAATTCCCTGGAAGTCAGCAGAACAGCAGAATAATACATGCAAAGGAAACAGGCTGAGCAGCAAAGGCTTTGTGCACTTTGGATTTAAGTCTACATGCACAGAAATCTGTGGAAATTTGCTAATGACTTCACTGGAGTGAGAACTTTGGCCCTCTTTGTACCGGTTGTATTAACTATACCTATTTCCTTTTAATTACACCCACTCGGGGAAAACAGCACTTCTTTCCCCAGAAGTTGCTAAGTTTCTTTGACATCCCCATTTGTTCCAAACTGGGGCAAAAATTTGCCACTTGCAAGATTTGCCACTGAGTAAAAAATTCAAAGTATTCCACCTCGGAAACATCAAAGTCACACTGAAATGCTTTGCCTCAGTATTGTCACAACATTTACACTGCTAAGCGTGCCATACAAATCAGCGATGCACTCGGGCATTCTGTGAAGGTGTGCCGAGTAGTCAAAACAAGAACATGAATACCAGAGTGAAATGAGGAAGCCAGAATAAAGCACCTCTGCAACTGTAAATGCTTCACGGGAATATATTTGATTTCAGTGAAGTTTTCAAGGTTAAAATTTCCACAAAGCAACATTTTCTGGAAGAAGTCTGTTTGCAGAAAGCTTTTGATCTGTTTTACTGTTTATGGTATTGAGTTGAATTCAGAATGACCGATTGCATTTTGGTAAGTTTTCCGTTTTGCTTGTAGGTCTCTATTATTCAGCCAGGAAACTATGCGCGCTCTACCAAAATTCAGCCACCAGTCAGTGCCGAAGAGATTTGGAATGAACTCAGCGAAGAGGAAAAGGCAGTTTACAACAAGGAGTACATTCAAGAGCGAGCAAACTTTTTCAACAGCATTGTCAGCGAAGGAAGCCCTAATGGCAATGAAGTTGTAGATGCTATGGTTGATGCTTTAGTGTCTCCTGCACCCAAGGCACGTTACATGGTAGCAAGGCTAAAGGAAAAAGCACTGGTGCTTGTATGTGCTTTATTTCCAACTGCTGTGATGGATTTTTTTCTGTCTTACGCACTGAGTAAAGTCAAGCTGAAATAGCCAGCATTGGTATCATTTAGTGACTCAGGCTAGGAAATTTTTTTAACTGCGAAAGCCATGGCTCCACGTAATGCCCCCAGAAATCACGTTATGACACCGACTGACACGATCTTTGGAGTGTCTCCCTGCTCAGAACTGTCACTTGTTCGTACAGAAGAACATGTAGGGCCTCAACTAAAATTCACACAGTTGTCTAGTAACTGTATTTCTCTTTTGGAAAAAGAACAGGGCAACTTATGCTATTTTAGGTATTGCCTAGAAAATTTAATGCGGCTTTTCCTAATACAATACCAAATTACTGTGTTAGAGACGTGACAGAGGCAAAATGGAGCATATCCTACAGGGAAACTGCATACCTGGGATCAGTATGGCAGAGATGAAAGCATCTTATGTGTAGGAGCCTAAATAGCAATTTATTAGAGGTGATAGGAAGAGGCTGATGGAAAAATGGGGAATGAGCAACAGACCTTGAAACACTTTTAATGTAGCTAAGTGACTTTGGAAAGTTATTGTTAAATGAGTAACGGAGTCTTATTCTTAGCAATGAAACAGTAGCTTGGCTAACTGCAGTTCAGTGCTTATTCAGGTGTTAGGGATAAATCTGTAACAAGGCCCATGTGTGATGGACTTTGAAAAATAAGTAGCACGTTCTATTTACAACTGAATATTCAATCCTAAATAAACTCTATCTATTTATCTAATGTCTGGATAAATCAACATACTAACCTAAAACGTAGTCAGAGGGCTAAACACCAGGGTGAAAAGAACCAGAATGCAGCAGCTACCTGTAGCTTAAGAAGAACATACTAAGCCCGGAGTTCTGTTTTTAATACTACTATAGGGGTTAAGGTCTGATGGAAAAAGTATCTGTTCATATGAACAGGAAAACTTCAGTGACATACGACAGTAATTGAGCACGCTGGCTTCATTAGCAGTCTCCTTCTACCTGCTGTAGAAAAGATTTCTGGTTTACACATAAATAGTTTTAGATTTGACTTGTTTGTGGCATGGCACAAAATCCAAGAACTACAGGAGCGAAGATCCCAGAATAACTGGGATCAGCTATGGTGACAATGGTAGATACAGGGCAGCAGCATGAAGCATTAGCTTCCCTTGTGCCAGGTCTCCCATATCAAACCAAAGGCTCTAGTATAGTAATTTGGGGGGGCTGAACCAGAAATCACATGCTACACCTGGGATGTCTTTCCTAATGGATGCAATTAATTACTGAGAAAAGTTTTTCTCTCTCTCATGGTGGGCAATTTGGACATCTGACTCAGGAGCATGGAGACAATGAGCAAACAGACGGACAATTCCTGGTCCTCTCCAGCCAGCAACTGGTGGTGGAACAGCCACCTTGTTGACCTTTTCTAGGCTGTGGAACATTTATTTCTCTTCCCAAGTGCTGGACCCATCCCTGCAGCTGACTTTAGTAAAAGGACAAGCCAGGGCTCCCACCCATTCCCCTGCCTGTCAACAGCAAGATTATCAGATGATTATCTTTCGCTCTCCTCATTTAACCACAACTGAGCAAGGCCAAGCAAGGGAACAGGAATGAGGCTTATTCCAACTGAACCAACTGATTTCTTGTATAGGAATTCCCCCTGCTTGACCTCAGGGATTTCAGCAGCCTTACATTGCTTGGGACCAGGGCGTTTCATGCTCTTAGACATTCTTTGTGCAGATTACCCTTCCTTACAGTAAGCAGCACTGAACTCAACAAGCAGCTCTGAAAAACAGATGTTTCCACAGGAAACACACAACTCCCCCCTCTCTGCCTCGGAGACGCTGCTGCTTTCCATTACGTGCTCTCCCCTCTATCTCCGTTTCTAAAAGCTGCAGCAATACCTCAGTGCTGCCGAGAGCCTGCACCTTCAGGAGAGCAGCCTCCCAGATACGGACGGGATGAAGTACTTCCAACTGCAAATTCCTCCTTTATTGGCTGCGTATGTGGTGAAGCATCTGATCAATATTTCATTAGCCTCCTGTAACATCAGATGAGCAACACTCCAGAACATTTATTCCTTGGTCTTGAAAACTAAGAACATGCAGTGCGTAGTGCCTCACGCAGGGTACAGGGACAGGCTGGATGAGAACAGATGGGACAGATGAAGGCAGTTTATATTTTCATTGCTGCCTAACCTGCCAGTGTGAAAGCTAACTGAAAAACAGCCACAAAAAGATTATCTTTCGTCTTCCCCCTCAGATTTTTAATATTATGATTTGAAGATAAAGAACTAATCAAGAGAGAGTCAGAGCTTCACTTATTAACAGGCCTGATGCACTCCCACTGAAAATCATCTGGAGCCCTCCCACTGCATTACACGGGCTCCAAGGCATAGCATTAGACAAGTAAACCTAAAAAAAAACACCAAAAAAACAGAGAGAATGTTTTCAGAGTCCCTGGGCTTAATAGGAGAGAGACCCTCAGAAGCAACGTTGATGAAAGGGGTGCAGAACTCCTCTTTTGCAGGTCTCACAGAGCACAGAATTCACAGGGTTAGTAAAGGAAGCTTCTAGTGAACAAATATTGCTAATAATGCCAAGTTTGTGACAAACTCTGAGGACCTCCACAGCTGCCCATTCTTCACCCAAACTCCTGCCCATCTGTTTGTCACTGGAAAGCTCACCTGGCTCTAGGATCCCAGTCTTCCTCCTGGCCTATGCAGGAAGCACTTGCTGGGAAGTGGGAAACTGCTGGACTGCGCCACCATGCCCTTTGTTACCTTGCCATGCCGAGGGGTGAGGAATGCCTCCTGTTACCCAGTCACCCTAAGATCACCTTTACCTCAAGTCAAGTTAAAGTACAGACACATACGAGAAGCCTGCATTTACAACATCCAAAATAAGCAAGATACAGTGTTTTAGGAAAAGCAAAGGTGATAACCACCCCCAGAAGTTCACTGTTCCTTCCAGAACGAAGCTTTTCCCCTAACTTGAGGGGTGCGGTTTCAGAAGGGCCCCGGTGACAACTCCCCAGAGCAGGCTGAAGGCTGCCCCGGTGGGTAGCAGATCTGTCACTGTCGCTGCATCCACCCACATCTGCACCAGTCACACAGGCATCCTCTGAGCAGTAGTGGCTGCACTGCACCCTGCTGCAGCGCGATGGGCTGTGCAGGGAGTTTTTCTGACACCTAGCAGCACTAACACCCTGATTTACTGCCCTGGTTGGATTTTATGCTCCTTCAGTGTAACCGGCAGCTGGCTGTAACAGTCCAGATGACCTTCAGAACTAGACAGATTTGTAAGCTTGTGTCATTCTTTCACACTGGCAAATCTGAGTGAGGAGATTTGGGTGTAATGCACCATGCAGCAGACATTTTGCAGTAGCATCAGAATCCAGAGAGATGAGTAACAGTAATAATTACTTGTGCTGTAAAAGGCTTAAGCATAAACCATGCAGCTCCCAAAACAGCTTCCAGCTAAAGTCAGGCTACCACCTAGCCCAGCTTTGACTGATGTCAGCAGGATTCTCCAGTGCCAACCAGCACAAGAGCCCTTAGAGTGCACAGCCTCCCTCCAGATATCAGCTGTGGGACGTTTATGGCAACCTTGTGCTTCCACATTGTCAAATAAAAACCATCACAACACAAAGACAGCAAGTTGTACCGAGGATGGCAGCTATATTACTGCACTTGTTCTGTACAGGGGCTGTGTAGTGCTGTCAGTCTGGCACCTTCTGCTAGCACCAAACCAAACTTCACAGCCTTTAGCTTTCAAACACTTTGGATCAGCTGTTAAGCGGTGTAATCTTTTTATTTGTAATTAGACCACTTTGGAGCTTTAAAGTGAGCATGTCATTAATGGAGGCTTTACCCATCGTGATGAGGTATGTATCTTGTAGGGCCAATTGAGGTTAATGTTTACGGGTGAATAATACAAGGGGAAAACATAAACTTTTCAGTAATAAATGTTCTTTGGAGCAGATGTGGTTAGGAGATAATTTACTCCTGATTATCTCACTATCAGGTGCTGGCATGGTGGGTAAAATCTGTGTGCCGTGAGCTCCATAGACTGCATTCATTCAGGTAACAATGAAGCCAGCAGAGCACCTCTGTGACTGTCCACATTCAGGACACAAGGTTGTGTGCTACCATGAAGTAGGTTCTGTATAATTGGCACTTCTTGCAGGGAAAATAATGAAATGCTTTATGTTAATATCTATCTGTATTTCTTGCTGTGATTCACCACTCAGTCTGGTGCCTTCAATCGCACACCCTTCTGCTCTGTTGGACATGCATCCAGCTGCACAACACCACTTCCCTGGTGAAACATACCACATGTCAAAAAATGACTTGACCTCAGACCTCCTAATACTAGAGGTGTTTTGTAAATAATTCAACAGCCTGTCCTGGCTAGCTAGGCAATTGCTGAGCCCAACAACAGTATTAAGGGCCAATTGGCTACTGGCACTTAGAGGCTGAAATTAGCCATGACAGACGACAGAAAAGAAGTCCAGACAGCTTTGGAAGTCCCAGTGGTAGCGGTGTTTGTTTTTTAGGAGGGCTTCTCCTTTAACTCACTTAAACAGCATTGAGCATTTTTCCCTGACTGTTGGCACTGACATTTTTCCTGTTGATAAATAGGTTTATCCTCCCAGTCAGGTCTATGAGCAATTACACTTCGATTCAAGCCCAACATGTTTAATTTATGTTACACTACCACACAGCCCCCTGCAAATAGCTATAAAGTTGGTTTACCCACAGAGGTAAACCTCGCCACAGGAGGGCGAGGAAGTTTTGCAAGAAAACAAGTCAGAAAACCACCAGAGGCTGTCACATCCCACTGAGAGACCCCATGCAGGAGGGCTGGCATTGCCCTCGCAGCCCCTGGCCCCTGATCCTACAGCCAGGCCCTGCAGGCGTGGGGTGAGCCCCCCTTCTTCACCTCGCCGCCTCACAGCCTCTCCACTGCCAAGGGCTGGTGGCCAACGGCCAAGTCCAACCTCTGACGCCTGTCGTGTCGCTGTTGCCAAGGGCAGCGCGGCTGTCTGGGCATAATGGCGGGCACGGCGCCCTGAGGCGGGTTGGGGTCCGTGGTGGCAGCCGCAGGTGAGTGCCCCTGAGGGGCCAGGGGGATGCGACAGGCCTGTTGCTGTGAGGGAGACATGTGGCTGCTGCAGGACCCCGGGGAGGGTTGCTGGGTTTTGTAACCAAAAGGTGATTTCTGAGGCAGGCCGCCTGGTGCCACCTCTGCCCCTGTACCCTCTCCTCTCAGCGGTGCCCTGCAGCTCCTTGCCCTCCTGGCTGCGGCTCCAGCCACTCCCAGACGGACACTGGCACGGCAAGCTGAAAACAAAATGCACATCTTAGAAGAATAAACACGGCATTACAGGCTATTCATTATGCCAGGATTCAGTCTGAGGAGGATTTTGTTACATTGCTCCTGTTAAACGTTAGCCACAGCCAAAAATCCAGAGTAATTATCTGTACAAAGCCAGAAATATAACATGGCAGCGTTACCGTATCAGTTTCTTTTGTACCAGCACAGAGGGCTCAGGCTTATCTCTACGGCCAGCATGCGAATGGGCCAAATTTAGAAAGTTCCGAGCTATTTTCTCTCACTAATGATAAAAGACATGAAAATTTTGTTTACTGCTTTGTGAATAGTGATAATTAAAGGGATGCTTTCTACTTGAAATGTTGAAACTGAAAAATGTTGCAAACCGGAAAAAAAGGAGTCAGAAGTGCTTCCAGCAGCGGTCGGGCACCAGGCTTTGACAGAAAGCGAGTGAGAGTGCTGGGCAGCAGACCCTCCCTACCAATGCAGCTTGGCCACTGCCTGGAAAGCTTTGTGAGAAACCAGCCTGATTAAAATGCCCTTCCTAATACTAGGTATACTGGGAAAAGGGTTCATCGGAATTGGAAAGAGTTCATGCTTTCAACCAAAACAATAACAGAAGCTGGCAGGATGAAAGCGGCGATCCTGTTGATGTTTGTCAACAGATAAAGTTGCTGCTCCACAGATGTTACAAGCCCAGGATTTATGATTATAGCTTCATGAAGTGCTCCCCAGAGTATGACTGTCTCAAAGCTGTGTCAACAATCCTTTGTTTTCTGTTAAAAGGTCCTACGGGTTAAGTGATATAAACCCTATGAAATGCACACAATTGGCAGCATTTATTTAATGAAAATCCCAGGATGCTGTAGTTACATTTTCATTATAAAAGGCTGTTTCACTTGCTTGCAGTTTTACCTGACTCTGGGTATAAGCTTCTATCCCACCTGTCTTATTTTAATTCTGTTACTGTAGAAATTTCTAATAAAACAGGACCCAATCCCTTTGAAGAAATACTAAAAAGAAATATTAACCATCACAGCTAAATTGTTATGTTTGTTTTCATGTAAATTGTTGGTTCTTAATGCTCTGAAGCAGACTTTAAACTTGCTAGGGGATCTCACTGGTGGGTAAACTGAGATAACAACATACTTCACCATTATGTCGAAAATAATTTCACTTATGTTTACAGAAATAATTTTGTTTCTGTGTGTGAAGTACTAAAATATTGCCAGGATAAGCATCTCAAAACCAACAAGAATCACTGATCATACTGCACTGGGACTAACATTGGGATAGAATGTAATACATTGCCCTGTGAGCAAAAGGGAAAGTGTGGAATAAGTAGAAATTGTGCTGTGAGTCCCGTATCATGAACGAGGCAAAGGTTTTGGGGAGCAAAAATAATACCTAGTCACATAGTTCAAACGCTTATTGGACATATATACAGGGATATTGCATGAATGATGCATGGTTTGTTGTTTTTCAACCATATTTTGTGTTGTTTACCACATGCAGCACGTCTGTTTTCCATCAGTGCTGGTGATTCTTCGATTGCTTCTTGACACTGCTGCTGTTCCTGTGTAACCCTGTGTCCCTCTGCTGTGTCACTGCTGGGGACACTGACAGCAACAACACCAGTGATGGCAGGTGTTTACTTGCAGCTAGTAATTGCTGAAGCATGCGAGATGTGCTTCAGATTCAGACTTGCTTTCCAAGTGTGTCACCTTGCCCGCTGCAGAATGGCATCCTAGGATGTGCTTGTTCTGGATACTTCAGATGCTGAGTGTGATGGTTGTACTAGATGTGGCTCAGGTACTGTTACGAATCTCAAGGATAATCCATAAAATGAATCCAAAGCTCTATGCACTGAATATTACATTCATTTAAACCTTCATTGGATGTTACTAAAAAAATGTTATCAATTATGATAGTGCTCTTGTGCTCTTAGCTTTACTAACCTACTTCCAGGGAGAACATCGTTTTTTCAGTGTTTGCAGCTTCATGGGGGAGAAAGAAGGGAAAAATAAGACAAGTTTTGATCTTAAGTAAGTTCCTGAAAAAATGCTGTGCAAAATCCAGGTGTTTGTGCAGAAAGCGTTAAGAAATACAGGAAAAATCCTCAAACACAAGATCTTGTCAGTTCCTCAGACAGTGTCAATAGGTGAGTATTGATTTCCTTGGAGCGCTGCAGACTGGGCTGGCTGCAGGAGCATGCGGCTGGCACCCTGCGGGCGGTCTCGGCAGCAGTAAGCCAGGCTGCAGATGAGCCCTGCAGCTTTTTTGGGGGCCACAGCCCCAAAGGCAGCGAGGTGCATGCCCCTGCTGCTCTGCAGCCTGCGGTGCTGGCTGGGGCAGAGGCAGAGCAGAAGCATTTCAGAAAGGATGGGGCAGAGCTGTGATCATGCCCAGCCCTCCTTCAGGGGGGAAGCCCGTGGGCTGTGGAATGGGCTCACTCTGTGCAGGCTGCCCAGAAGGGATCAGGCAGTGTTTTGATCATTTAAACAGCATCTAAGGAACAGGAGCCTGGGCTCTTTGTGTGCACGCAGATGCAGTGGGAAGAAAGGGCCCATTTTGGAAGTGAAACCAAGTTTGTTACAGCTACAGGGTGGTGCGGAATAGAGAGCAGGAGTACAAGAGAACAGTTTAAGCTTGTCAGCTCCACCTAACCATTATTAAAAAGATTTTTCTTTCTGAGCTTCAGAGTCATAAACAGTGTAAGAGCCTTCCCTGTAGTACCTTCGTGCTGTTCCTCGCTGCAGAGGTCACACCGCTTCACCAGAACCCAGGACAAAAGTCCTTGTCAAGAAGCTTTGCTCAGAAATGACTTCTAATGTCTCAGGCTCTAAAAGCTAGACTCGGCAGGGTACTCTGCTTTCCTTCCTCCCAGGGCTTTACCCAGAAGTAGCCTTATTTCTGAACTCTAAACATTAGGACTGAGTGCTACTATTGTTGTAACCCCTACCAGAAAAATATAATAAAAAAAAAATGCATTTATTCCCTTTTACAGAACAACGTACAAGAAACACAACATAGTAAGGATTTAGGTGACAGATTTGAGTTATTGATGCTTAATGATTTAGTCATGTGTTGTAAGAATATATTTTGTATATGATCAGAATGAGAGTTCTGATTTCAAAAGAAATGAAAGGCAGTAGTTACAGGAACAACAACTGACATGGCATACCTGTGATACAAAAAGTACTTTCACCTGTTCCCAATATGGTTAGCCTTTATTCACTCTATTTTTCCTGCAGTTTTATTTCAGATTTCCTTTCCAGAAAGGGAGGTGGTGACACAAAAAATCTGTTGAAATTATGCATCCTTCTGAATCATTCCTACAACTCACCTCTTCTCAGACAGCCACAAAACACTCAATAGTAGCCAGGAAGATTGCTAAGTGGTACAATTTACAGCCTATATGGATAATAAAATAAAATAAAATAAAATAAAATAAAATAAAATAAAATAAAATAAAATAAAATAAAATAAAATAAAATAAAATAAAATAAAATAAAATAAAATAAATCCCTAAGGGGACCTGTTCTTCCACATTTTTTGTTGTCTGTCCTATAAGTGTTGTTTTTGAAGCACAGGTTGATCCAGGGCTTGCTTGAAGCTGATAGGAAGCTTCCCATTCACTTAAGCAAGCTCCAGAAATGGCCTTGACCCTTGCTTGTCCCTGCAGCCACAAGTGCTGAGACTAACTAACAGAGGATAAAAAGTCTAAAAAATAATCACAACCGAGGAAAATGCAAAGCTGGTATCCTGCAGCACACTTTCCTCTACAAGTATTTGTTGCATTACCTGGAGGAATCTTTTCCCATGTCAGCATCTCACTGCCTGCACCTTTTTTCCCTGAGGGATTTACCACAGAGAAACGCAATTTACCCTTTTATGCACGCAGCCCAGCTGGAAGTTCATGCATTAGTTACTAACAAAGGAAGATGCTCCAGTATTGACGAAGTGATCCTAGCATCTATTTTATGCTTTAACAAAACTCGTAACTGGGACATGTGATTTTTTTTCTCACATACTAAAATGGCAGGTGATCAGCCTCAACTTGGGCCTCCAACTAATTATAGGTTATCGCAGTTCCTTGAATGGGAAGCAGTTAGCTTACAGTTCCCTACCTTAAGTTTCACCTTGGAAGGGATTTCTTCTGAACAGTTTGATTACTGGAAAGAGCAATTTGCAAGGTGCTTCCTGTGTTTACATAGTCTCTATATGTACCATATACACTAAATGAGAGAAATTCACGTACAGCTCTGTGCTCTGTCAAGTTTAAGTAGGTAAGTAGATATTTGCGTGCCTTGAACATAGCTTGATACCTGTTCTTCCTGGCATCTCAGAGTAATCTCATCTCTGTGTTTACGTGTTTTCCTCTCTCCCAGTGCAGAAATTCCTTCCTTAGATGAAGCCATTTTTTCTTACTCAGGGATGCTACCAGTAGATGACAGACTTCAAGACTTACAGATCTACAAACTTCTCCAGTGTGTCCACCAGAAAGACAAGAAGCAAATAGAAAAGCTGGTCCAGCATGGCTTCCCCAACCTCATTAACTTCACAGAGCCTACAGATGGGTACAGCGCCCTCTCTTTGGCCTGCTCTAAGAATGACACCGACATGTGCAGCTTCTTGCTACAGCTGGGAGCTCATCCAGATGTCCAGGACAAAATGGGACGTACTCCAGCAATGAGGGCAGCCGAGCTAGGCTATGACTTGGTTCTGGACTTACTAGTAAAAGCTAAAGCAGACATGACTGTTGTTGATAACGAAGGGAAAGGTAAGTAAAAAGGAACCCGATCAGACCAGAAATAGCACAAAATGGCTCCTTACTGTGTTATGTGCTTGCTATGTATGTCATGCTCACTCTGAAGAGAGGAACTGCAGTGGAGGGTAATGCTTAAAGCTCAACAGAAGCTATTGGCCTTTGGTAAAAATGAAAATTATTCTCCCTGAACAATCCAGGCCTTTAAATCATAGATCCCTCCAGTGTGTTCTCCGATGAGCAGCCACATACTCAATTCTGGTAAACTCCCTGAGTTCAGAGGTCCTAAACTAGAAATCCTTTTTACATTTATATATGTGAGAGAATTTAATGGGCCTCTGATGAAGGAGTCTCTGCCCATTCTTCTGTGAAGTTTATAGCATAAATAACCTTTCTTATCATTTACCAGTACACCATAATCCTTGCTGTTTTTCTTTGCAGGTGTTTTGTTTTACTCCATTTTACCTACACGACGGCATTATCACTGCACTCAAATTGCCCTGGATTATGGTGCAGATCTTAACAACTGTACTACTGATGGGAAGCCTGTATTTCTACAAGCCTGTGAGCAAGCTCATGATATTAAAGAAATATGTCTGACTTTCTTGGAAAGAGGAGCAAATCCCGATTCAAGAGACCCAGTATGAATATTTTGGTAACTAAGAATGTGTATACAGGAGTAAAGAATGGTCACCAGACTGGAATGTATAACCATAAATCCTCACATTAAAATTGCACAACAGTGGCAATTTCATTACTCTGTGGGGATGTCTATTCCCTTCTTTATCAACATTTTTTTTTGCAGGAACAGAGATTTAAGTCATAGAATCATAGAATATCCTGAGTTGGAAGGGACCCTTAAGGATCATCAAGTCCAACTCTTGAAGTCTTCTGATTGAATCATGTATCCCGAGTCAGATTTTTGTAGGTTAGAGTGTAAATATTTAAAAAACAAGGGGTAAGCGTGCCAACTCCTAAGAGTTCTAGTTCACTGTGCTTCAGCTGGATGTGCCCCAAGGTTTTCAGGGTTGAAGTAATACTAAAAAGGTGAGTCCAACAGAAGAAACATGAATGGGGATCAAGGTAGTGATGAGACATAAGAAACTCTTTTCTCCCTTTTGTACATCTTAGTCATGTATTTGTTTACTTGCTAAATTTATCAATGGCATTAAGGACATGAAGCCCTGTGCTACTGATCAAGTCATAGAGTCCTTAAATCATGTAGGTTGGAAAAGACCTTCAGGATTATCAGGTTTTCCCTTAGAGCTACTCCTGGCTTTTGCTTTTGTCCTAGCATTTGCGGCATCCTTCCTAATTTGTAGCTATACCAAAACATTTTACACTACCGATATTTGGACATCTTTATCACATCCTCTGAGGCACGTTCCCACCTTCTGCACTCTGCATGCCTGCAATATGATGAGAAACCTGAATCTTGGGTCTAATACTGTAGACATATACCTGGCAACATAATGGGAATGTTTTGCTAGGCCCAAAGAAAGATATCAGGGAACAAATCATGGTTCGGTACAACGAAATCCACAGCTCATTGTCTGCTTCCTGCCCTTCCTTTATCTCTGCCCCTCTGTATAGCAGCAGGTGAGAGATTTTAAGAGTTGGTGTGGGACATTAGGTTAATAGAACACTATCCCTGAGCTGAGAGGTGCTTTATTCTTGAGACAGTCACCGAATCTACCAAAGTCATAGTTACTTATGTTCTTTCAAGATATAATTGGTATTTTGTGTTAAATCTTTATACACAAGAGCATGCACCCAGAAAGAAAAAAAAAAAAAAAGTATTTCCTCAAATAGGGAATTGATTTTTGTATGGCTATTCAGGTGAGTCAGGTTACTAACATAGTTGAGTCACTAGGATTTGACTACTCCTGATTTGGAAGCATTAAGACTAGATTCCTAAAGTTTTCATACAAATGCTGTTGAAAGTATTAGACATGTCTACTTTTTTCAATAACACCTAAAAGAAGCCTTCATTTTATGCTGCCCTGCAGCAATCAGATCATGTTGGACTCTTTCAACCTGAATTAGCACACAATGCAAATTCTGAATTGTTTTCTTGCTACCTTGCAGGCTACGGGTCGCACAGCCTTAATGGAAGCAGCACGAGAAGGTGTTCTTGAGCTGGTGCGTGGTATACTTGAGAGAGGAGTCGATGTTAACCTATTTGACAATGAAAGACACAGTGCTGCACATTTTGCAGCCAAAGGAGGCTTTTTTGAGGTATCATCATTTGTGGTGTTGAACAGCTTGCTGCAAATCCAGTCCGTTATTTATTTATCTATTTGGAGTCCAGTATCTCAGCTGATCAAAGCACAGTAATTAGTAGTTAAAAGCCACTTCTTTTTGGGTATCAAAGGGAAGCCAGAAGTGACAGAATCTCTCTCATAATTGCAGAGCTTTTTTGCCAAGGTACCCCAGAGAGTGTGTGCTACTGTGGCTGTCTGGTGTCAATTTGAAGAGCTTGTTTCCCCCAACATGTAGCATGTCACAGCTGCGTAACGTAGATGAAACCTTCCCATTGTAGGAAAGGCAGATACAAATAGCTGCAGGGAGGCCATTTCTTCCCTGTATCTTCCCAACTACTGTCTTTATTAAATTATGCAATTTTTATTATGCACACAATGATTACACATAGGTCTTGAAGATGGCAGGCCTGCAATAGTGAAGGTTGTTCTTGATATCTACAACTGAATGAGGTTTCTAATTCCTGAGTAAAGTAGGCACGTACTATAGAAAACATGAGTGTCATGTGTGCATTGATCAGCTGGGCAAGGGAGAGAAGTTCACTGTGTAAACCGGGAATATACGATACTGCATTTCATTTGTAAATCAGTCTCACAGTTCCCCCCTCCTAAGAAACACAGATGACTTTTGGTGGTAATGTTTTTGCTTTTCTAGATCCTGAGGATTATTTCAGCTTATAATGGAGACTTGGGCCTGATCGCTATGAACGGTAACACACCACTTCATTACGCTGCAGAGGGAGGATTTGCAAATTGCTGCAAGTTTATAGGACAACGAGGTACATTAAGAAGTTACTTCATGACTATTGTATATATTATTTTTCTGTGTTAGAGGAAAGACTGACATCACTCGGGCATCTGCGAAGGAATTGTCTCTCTGGGGTATCATGTGACAAGTGAGATTCTCATTAAGAAGTACCTAACATAGGCTATTGCTGTTCACTTCTACTAGTGTGGCTATGATGAAATAAAACATTTCTCAAGAAAATCAACAGAAACAACACGGGTTTGTGTAACTTAGAACTGGACAGCATTAAGTGGTTTTGTTTCACTGATCATTTTAACAACCTGATCTCACTGTAGTCATGGGGAAAACTTAGCACCCATGGGTATTAAAACATACTCCAAATAAGCTGTGATGATTTTCTAAGTTACTCAAATAATCATACTACTTCCAATTGTCTTTCCGTAGGACCATGTACAATCCTACGTTATGTTCTTGTGGTCCATATATTTAGCTTACAGTCCATTACCAAATCACAATGTTGGGCTACAGAAGAGTGAGTAACATCTTAATCTTAGTTGGTTTCTTCTTAATCTTGGTTGCTACTTTAAGTAAAAATGTAAAATTTTCACTGAACTTCTCCCTTCCCGTACGTATTCATGAGTAGATGGAGTAGAGTATGGGTTGCGTAGTGAATCTCCCTTTGGAAAACAAATGTGGCTGTGTGCCTAGCTTTCCAGGTTGAGATCACTGATACGGTTGCATTTACTATTGTTATTTATAGTTAAGACTTAATAAAATTGTAGACCTGTGCTAATTAGCTACACACATATTACAAGACTGTTACGTTAAGTAATTGCCATTTATTAATTCCATTGCACTATCAGTGAAAGTGTGTCTATATTGTTAGGCTGCGATCCTACATGGACAAACTTGTTGGCAAAGACTCCAAGAGCAGTTGCCAAGGAAGGCGGTTTTAAAGCAGCAGTAACTGAATTGCGCAAAATTGAAAATAACTTTAAAAAACAGTCTAAGTCTGAAGCTAAGGAGAAGAACCCCCAGTGGGCACTGAGGCTGTACGACTGGTCCTTAGAGCACCAGGCTGCCCTCCGGAAGGCATTTGAGGCCGTTGACCAAGGAGATGGAACAGTAGCTAAGGATGATTTCATAGCAGTTATTCAGAAGCAGTGTGCCTTTGTGGACACTGAGCAAATACAAGCTATTGCTGAAGTGCATGAAAGAGCTGACCCTGAAGGAATCAACACTGAAGAATTTTTTAAAGGTTCTAAATACTTGCAGAAAAACTATCTTATAACATCTTATGGACCCAAAGGGAAGAAAGGAAAGAAAGGGAAGAAACGAAGAGGCAAAAGAGGCATTGCTGTCCCCATGCCAATTTGCATTATTCCAAAGAGTGTGTGTCCACTTAGGGAAGACGGCTTCCCTGTATACATGATTGAGGCTGTTCAGAACACTGCTGATAGCTACCGCTTTAACCGAGACCACCCATCTGCCCACCCCGTGCATGACGACCGTGCCTGGTATATAGATGAACCAAGGAAAATGTACATGAACATTAACTTCCTTGTCAGGGCAGGAGACATTCTGTCTCTAGAGAAAGCATTTGAGGAGGGTGTGCCAGTAGACATAAAAGATAAGTATTACAAAACACCTTTGATGACTGCATGCGCAAGTGGGAACATAGACTTCGTGCAGTATCTTCTGGAAAAGGGGTAAGATCATTCCAAAGATTTTCTTTAATTGCTATTTTGGGAGCATAAATTTCCAATAAACATTTGGATGCAACAGATTATAGTCTTTGTATGCATGCTATTTAACATAATAATTCCGTAAGATGCTGAGTTACAGAGGTTTAGTTTATTTTTTTTTACATTTTAGTAATGAGGAAATAAAAACATCTAAAGGTAAGTTTCACAGATCTGAAATTGTTGGTGTCTGAACTACTGACATTTCACTTAGATGCAGAGCACCTACATGTAGTCTATTGGAGCTGCGGCTAGTTTATATCCATGTCTCAAGGAGTGCATCTTCAAAATAACTTTCAAAATTACATGAATGATTTTTTGAAAATCTGACTTAAGTGGCTAGCCTGAAATCATTGAGATACTTTTAAATGAATCATCAAGGAAGTCTCAGACTTCCCTGTTCCACATGCCAGAGCTTTTGCATGCAAATATTTTAAGAGAATCAGCTCTACCAAGAATCACTTTCCTCTGCAGCCTCAGCAGGCTGAGGCAGCAGGATTTACTCCAGAAGTGCACGTTGCTATTTAGTCTGTTCCCCTCTTCAGAAGTGCTTCAGCAGTTTTGTAGCCTACAGATACACCTGTGAAAAACCTTCATAACAGCTTAAAAATGAAAGCAATTTAAGAAAAAATCAGTCATATTTATGTAATAGCATAATCTCTTCTTTTTTTTTATGATCAAACTGCCACAGTCCTACATTCAGATAACTGCTTAAGAGAACATTTTACAGAGACAATATTTATGTTAGCTATGTTCTCTACCTGTTGCTAGAATTTATTTTAATGTTCATTTCTAAGGATAAGTGTCTCTAGCCATTGCTCGAGATCCTGCAGAGACTTAACAGCATGTACAAATTTATGCACCCTGGTAATTACACTGACGTTCCTGCAGCATATGTAAAGATGTGTAAGTGTGTAAATTCAGGTCTTCCAAAGATAAGGATGCAAGAGTTATCAAATTAATCTAGCAAATTTATCTCCACTGCTTTCATCAGATCTCACTAGACAGTGCACTAGTCACATCTCATTGTATTTAGATCTATAAATGCAATAATAGTTAAAAAAAAAAAATCTAGTTTTGATATTTTAAATTGATTGAAATCAGAAAGAAAAGTTTTCAGTACAGTTTTAGCTTTGCATCTTTCAACATTGTGGACTTTCAAACACTTTCATTTTGGCATGGGAATTTAAATACTTTTTACAATATGGCCATTTCAGTATTATAAATGCATACCAAATGGAAAATTAAATACTTATCTAGAGCTATAAAAAATGCTGAGGTTTAAGCATAAATCAGTGGTATCTACTTTCTACCTTGTTCCAGAAAGACTCAGAAATAAGGCAAATTCACCCATGTTTGATCCAAAGAAAATGTTGAAGAATTTTATGCCAGCACTGTGTCTTTCCTGTTCCCTTCAATCAGTTTGTTTCCCACAGAGTGAAGTTAACAAAAGAGAGTCAGGGACAGAAAGAGGATCAGTCCAGGCATGGGGAGTGGGTAGGGAGAGAAAGTAGAGTAAGTGTAACCCTGCATTTTAAATGAGAAATATAGAGGAAATGACATCTGCATACAAGTAAGTCAGAATAGCTAAGCAACTGCAAGATAACAAAGATAAAACCGTTAGATTTGGGAATTTACTGCTATATGATCTCAGCAAAGTCAGAATTCTGAAACAGATTAAAAATTTAAGGAAGAAGAGATGAATAGATTAGTCTGTTCTTTTGATCCACAGTTAAATATTAACCATCTGATCAGATAAGCAAAAAAGCTCTCTGGGCAAGCAGCTTGCTTCTTAGTTTTTCTTCCCTTTACCTCCTTCCGTGTCTTTCAGGCAGACATCAGCTCTTTGTCCCTTGAGTAAATGGGACTGTCCCTAATGCAGTTTAGGACCTGTAGGCTGTCCTAAACACAATGGAAAGTAATTGACTGTGCAGGAGTTTTAGGGGATTCCCTCAGTTTTGACCCCTTCTGAACCCACGCATGGCACACGAGGGAGACAACAGATCCAGGTATGGTCACGGACCATGGTTTGTTCAAAGACATGAGGAACCATATTTCTTCCCTTTTAACATGACAAAGTGTTTTTTTTTTTTTTTTTAACACTAGTGGCTCTTGTTCCCCAAGCCTCACCTTTCCATGCCCCTGGCTGAAAAGCTCCCAAGGCAGCCAGCTGCTAAAGGGCTGGTAATGCTTTTCCCTGAGATTCTTCTGAAGGCAGCACACTGCAAATATCACCCCAAAACCAGCTCTTGCAGCCTCCAGAACACACCATTACTAACCTGGGAGGCAGAAGGATCTAGACCAGTGACACGGTAGCTGAAAAAGTTTTAAATTCTCGGCTTTTCTGTAATAGATCTTCTCTAACTCATTTTTAAATGGTGCAGGAAGCAATTTTGCCGTGTATTTTGGAGCACATGTTCTTGGCCCAGAAGTTTTCTTTTTTGGATTCTTTAACCTGCCTTTGGCCATCCTCAGGGAAGCTGGAGCACAAACACTACCAGCATTTTACAGAAGGACTAAGTTGCCCCAAAGCTTATTTTTCTCTGTACGTGTGAAAACTTCCCTGGGGAGGACCCTGTGTCAGCTTCGAGAGGACCATGATCACCACCCAGGCACACACAATGAATATGACGAGCTACGTATCACATTCTAAAACAGTTTCAAAGTAGCATTAGCAATATGAAAATACTTATTTACATTGAATATGCCACTATCATGCAGTTGTCATTGATTGTACTTAGAGCTGTAGAAGTTACTGTATTTAGTGTCTGGCATCATCTGCCACAACCCCTCTTACTCTTTTGTAGGGCCGACGTGAACGCAACAGACAATTTCATGTGGACTCCCCTCCATCATGCTTGCTATAATGGACACCTAGAGATTGCTGAGCTGATAGTGAAGGCTGGAGGAGCAGTGGATGCACCTGCAATAGGCAGTGCAACCCCACTAATGAGAGCCATTGAGATCTGTAGATTGGATATGGTACATTTTTTAATCAATGCAGGTGCTGACATCCAAACAACAAACAGCAATGGTAAATATCAATGTCTCCCCACAGGGACTGCTTAAGTGCATACAAGTTTTATAAGAAAAATAAGTTATTGGAATGTTTTGAGAAATATTCTGAATTTATGACTGCTATCAGGATTATGATGAAGGTAAAGTTAAGTTCAACTAGTTTTCTACACTATGGAATCACTATTCTAACTAGTCAGCTTTCCTACTTTTTATATGTCTATAAAATAAAGTTACATAATGACATGATTAATAAGTACAACCTCCCACCCCAAGAGTGTGGCTGAAAACATCCCTGATAGCTGTTACTCCTCACCTGATACATTTGGAGATGAAAGCGGCTTTAATGAAAAAAAGATCTAGGTATTTATTAGTATTATTGAATGGAAAAGTAGATTTTAGTTTTGGCCAGTGTGCATTCTGCCACACATTTCAACTGCCTGTAATATTGCATGCACAGACAACACTAGTTATAAAGAAATTCTTGCTGCTTAGCCTGTAAATACTTGTCCCTGAGATAAAAGCAGCTTAACAGAAACACAAATCTGAACTGATACTGAAGGGTTGCCTCCTCACAGCAGACCTTTCAATGACTATTATTGTCTCTATTTTAAGAGCAATTTAAACAGTTAACATTGCTTTTTTGGCCCCTGCTGTAATGTAGGAAGCAATGTTGCTACGTAATAAGACTTTCCTTCCCAAAATGCCTAGAAGGTGAAACCCTGCTTGTAGAAGCACTGTGTACTCTGCATTTCTATTATAATGGGAAATTCTGTATAACTGATGGTGGCAGTTTGGTTTCACCATTACTTTAAGGCCTCATCTCATAAGATTTAGAAGAGTTTCCCCCTTTATTACGCTCTGAAGGGGTTCTGAAGGGGTTCAGCCCCACTTAGACCACAGGGCTTTCCCTTGACTCTGCCAGCCACAGAGCAACCACTAGCAGAGGCAGATACCAACAATAACTTTGTCTGAATTCCAAACCCTGTAATATGCTAGCCATTCCCAAGTGCTAAATGCTCTCACTTCTCAGAGATCAAAGTGACAACCTGCAGGACCAGTATATTAAGATGCAAACGTCAGGACATTAAGAGCAAAGCAACCACGTCCAAGAATTCCTTCAATATCTTGTTTCAGGGCTCGTTTCTGCAAGCCCTTATTTCTGCAAGCAGTGCTGCTGACTGCCAGCCCTCACACCAACATCAGGCAGGCTACTGGCACACTGAATGGTTAATAAATTAGATGCCTAATTAAGTTCTGTTGACTGTAGTGTCATTATCCAGTTACAACAAGTGCCAAGATTTATTTTCATGGCTTAAACAGGTATTTATTTTCAAATACAGGAAAGAACGCTCTTGATATTGCTAAGGTGTTTGCAGATTCTAGAATAATCGATCTGCTTCAAAATAAACTGGACAATTTGCTTATGGTATCGGAAAAAAAAGGAGCAGAGAAAGAAAAAGTTGCAAAGCCAAGGCCACCTTCTACAGTGACACCTGCAGAGATGCAAGCTGTGAAAGAAGAGGTATGAGAAATGGGGAGAAAGGACTGATTTATTAGTAGTGTTTATTTCTTTAGTTGCCATCAGTCTGTGTAAAGCAGGAAGTTAAAGTATTCTCAGAAGCAGGGCTTGTTTTTGCCAGTACTACTACTTGTTAATTGTTCAAAACAGTAATTTGGTAATTTCTATGGATTTTGTGCCTTCTCTAATCCCACTGCAGAATTGTATCCTTTACCACTGACAAGGAATGTAAAATCTTTCCTCCTTTCCTTCCCCCTAAAGCTAATGATCACCTAACTATGATGTCCAAATACTGAAAACTGCTAACTGCAGTTTCTCAAAGGAAGCATGTATTTCTTCAAAGGATACGACTAATTCAAGGCCCTTCAAGTCACTAGAAGCATCTTTTTCCTCTTCTAAATTGAACATACTGAGCTGATATCAGGCTTGCTGACTTCTGATTTTCCCATTTGTCTCATATCCTTCTTCCACCGTTGAGAAGAGTCCTATTTCTTAAAGCCCACACCGACGCATTTGGCTGCTGTACTTGCCAATGCATTTTCTGCACCCTCCTGGAGCCTTGAGTACCTTACTATTTTCCCACCACCCACACAGACATCAGCCTCAGTGACCATATTCTGATTACCTTATTGTGGATGAAGTCTTCCTGATTTACCAGTGTTAACTGCTAATCAGACCTAATCAGTGCTATTTAGAGAGAAAATGCAATTTTATCTGCGTTGCTGGCAGTCTCCATCATCAGTCCCACCCTGGATGTCATAGTCAACGTGTTACAGTAGCCACATGCTGATTTCTGCCTTTTGAACATGTTTTAAGTTTCTCGGGGGTAGCATAGGATTTTCACAGAAGGGAGGATGACAACTTCTGACACTTACTCATCATCTGCCACAGGATGGAAACACCAGTGGCACTAGGTGATAGTCTAGTGAGTCTTGAAGAGCAGTTAATGTTCTAATGTCCAAGAAGGAGAGTCATCCCCTACCTTTTAAAGTGCTTCCCTCACAGATTTCTGATATATAAAAAAAGCTTTAAGAAAAACACATCCTGAACAGATTCAGAAAACACACACACACACACAGTGAATTGATGGTAAAACAAGTATCAGAGGGTGTATGCTTTGTTTCTAAATGCAACATGTGTGCAATGGATTAACCACTTCTCTTTTAGCTTTCACAGGTATCTCTGGCAGTTATAGAAAAACCTGATCTTGAAAAGGCAGCACATTCCCTTACGGACAGTGTTATTTATCTGAACTCTCTGATAACCAGTGGTGCTACTAAGAAAGAAGATATCACATTCGAACCCAGAAAAGTACGTACAGTAGCAAACCTTAACTACAGTTTTATGTTAAAGGTAGACAGATCACTTTCTTTGCAGGTCAGTATGAAGAGTTTGGTCATTTAATTAGTGAAAGCTGGACCAATTATACTAGCAAGGAGTCTGGCCCAGAGTCAAAGTGCATTAGCAAAGCACCCAGCATTTTGCACGACGTGCAGCTCAGAGCCAGGGCTTCATTCCAGTTATGTCTTCAGAAGCTGACATCTCTCACATTGTACATTTCTGAACAGCTGATTAGAAAACTTGGCATCCCAACAAAATTTAGTTGGAAAAAAAGACAATGGCTTCACAGTTTCAGCAAAGAAGTTGTAGAAGGGTTCACAGTTGATTCCAGTTGGTTTGTATTAGATCTTGTTTGCTTTCTCCTTCAGTTACTGAAAGTCAGGAACATAGGAATGGCTTCTTTCAGAGAGAAAGATCTCTTGAAAAGTAGGTGCTTCCAACATGATTCAATCCTGGATCAATTCTGTTTTCTAGCTACCTATGATTATTTTTTTTCCCCTTTGTGAGCAGGCCTTACTGTAGGTCCAAAACAACAACAAACCGATGAAAGGGCTTCACAATTTAACTAACTAATAGGTGATATGACATAGAGTAAAGATTGCCACAAAACAACGATAAACCTAAAAGGTGATATGTATGTCCATATGTATTATAACAAATCACAGAAACTGAGCCCTTACCAGTTTTAAAACTAGGATGAAAGCAGACCACATTAAATACAAATGCAACCATGTTCACAGTTGCATTTTAATATTCACACAGAACACTTAAAGGATAGGAGTCCTTGTTTAAGGGACCAGCACCAACTTCTGATTTACCTTCTCAGTCACTTATTACCTGATTTCTTATGTCAGTGACACTGAGTGAAATGAATCACAGCACAATAAACATTTAACTCCTGGAGTTAAAATAATTAAAGTATCACTTTTGTATTAGGGACCTGTTAATGCTCACAAATAATTGAGAAAATGAAACAGGATCATGGAGATTTTTATTATATATGAAACAAATACCATTGCTGACCAAGAAGTTTTGTTTGTTTAGAATTTACCATTTCCCTATCTCTGATTTGAGCTTGTTTCTGCAGTGGTCTCAGGGAAATAAGCCTATGCTGCCAGTGACTCTATGGTTAATTACTGTTTTCCACTCAGAGGATCTTGGGCCTGAATCAGTCATTCTACATAAAAAGCTTTGGGTCTTCTTCCCTGCCATTAGCCCTGAGCTGGGCCCTCAGCATATTACAGATTAGAAGTGACAGGAGTGCTCTGCTTGTATATACAAGATGATGTGGTACCTGCAGGGAAGCTGCACTGGTTTTGTTCTACATCTCAGGATAGAAAGGAGGGCTAAAACATAGCTTGGTTTAGCCAAGTGTTTTCTTATTGCAGAAGCCCTGCCCAAAGAAACTACAACTAATTTTATTTTATAGGTTTGGACCCCTGAAGCCACAACAAAGGAGCTGATAAGAAAGCAAGAATTGCTCCGGGAGCGCTCTACTCTTGCTGGCAACTCAGAAGCCTTCCTGACCCCCTTTAAGAGAACAGTTACGGAATAAGCATATCAGCTACAGGAAGCTACTTCTACACATATTTTGAGGGGACAAAGATCAAAGAAGGATACACCTTTGTAAGAAAGGAATCATGTGGTGCTTAGTAAATGCATCTCAGTTATGAAAAAATGTATAGCAAGTTTTTCTCTGCAAATTATACTGCTTATGTGGACTTTTGTTAAGAGCTTAGTACTGGAAAAGGTTTATCCTCATTATTCTAAGCACTGGAGCTCAGTGTATTTTATGGAACAGGAACTTGTGACACGTTCTTTTTAAGGGGATTGCTTTATGAAGCTATTTTTCACCCCAAGATAAAACTTTTTCATGGACAGTTATAAAGGTTACCCTTCCCACTGAAAGGGCATTAAAATATAAGGATAGGAATATGGTATTTCAGATTTCAGACATGTTCTTGGTCGTCTGCAAAGTCAAGAGAAACTACAGGAGTTAAAGGAGTTAATAGCCCAGACTACTGCTGTTGACTATACTGCCTTAATGTTCTGTCTCATACACATACCTCTTCCCTCACTCACTGAGGTTGTATTACCCAACTGCACTGTTGCAAAGCTGTTATCAGGATAATAGGATATTTTCAAATTGGCCTACACATTGAAAAACATTCAGAAATTTTGTTAAGGCAGGTTCCTGTATTAAGAACTACATACAAAACCAATCCAAGTCAACCCTTGCCCCCTCAAATGAGGTAAGTCATTTGAGATGATGTCCTGCCATTGAGATCTATGGGTGGGGAAAAGTTAGCATCTTAAAAAAATGATCTGGCCAGGCTGCTGTAATTTAGTGTAGAGGTTCTGAAATTTTGTTGTAGGAAGCATATAATGTCAAGATTTGTGTTATGACCAGGATGAAATAGCACAGGTTCTGCTGAAGGATGCAGCATCTCTTGAATTCTGTTCAGTGTATCTGCAAGAGAGTTGAGAGCACAGAAGTGAGCTTGATTTGGAGCTTCAAAAAGGTAATAATAGATGAGCTTTGGGTAGGCAGAGGCTGAAAATACTGGAAACATTTAGCTAAGAAGTGGGAGGGAATGCTATGAAGGATATCTGAAGCAGCAAAGAACGTGGAGAACTGAACTGAAACCTATTCTTTTGTAGGGTGCAAGAACAGTCAGAACACTGAAAAAACGGGAAAGCAGCACACATTAAATAACACTGTATAGTGTGTAAATATCCTATGGAACCCTCTGCCCAATTATCCTTGGAAGCTTAAAAAATATTTACATAGATTGTGAGAAGAGTCTCGTTAGCTAAAGCATAAGGGATAAATTCCCTCGTGTTTCAGGACCTCAGCTAATTACTATCTGCACATAGTACAGAGTTTTCTAGCAATGCAGTGCACTCCTTGATCATCCAGTGTAGTGATGTTCATGTTCCCCAGGAAAGAAAGCCACTGGCCTAGACAAACACTGTGAATGTGATCAGCATCTGGTTTGAGAGCATGCATTTTTAAAATTTATTTTTATGCTGAGATAAAATATGCTGAGATGGCCTCAAGAGCCATCTGGCTGCAGAAAACAGCTACTTTTGAAGATTTGTTTTCAATTTTTCTGATTTTTAAACTTCAAATCTCTGGAATCTGAGCTTCAGAAGGTGTTCTTCCCTTCTGGTTGTATTATTTGTAATAAGGACAGATTTTTGCCCTTGTTGGTGTGCAATACAGCATTTCCATGAGTTTGTCTAGGTACGAGAAGAGCAGAAGTGCTTTTGGTGGAACTTTGCTGGGGAAAGACTATGCAGTCACCTTGAAAACACCACTGCTTGCACAACACCACATGCAGCAAACCCATTTCAACTCTAGCCGCACATCCAAATGTAGAATTCAGACCCAAGACAAACACAAAGCAAGGAGATATGTCTAGTGAGGTACTATTTGTATTTTCAAATACCTCTACTGAACATAACATTTGAATGAACACAGTTGTGTATGATTAGTTTATGACAAGTTGCTTACTTTCAGAAAATTACCCTGTATGTTTAGCATTTTAATAGTCCAGTATGAAGACAGACTTTGAAGGCAAGTGAGATACCATTTCAACGTATCAGCTGTCTTGGAATTCTTAACATCAGCATATCATCTCTGCCTGTCAGCATAAAACTTCTTCTTGGCTGCAGATGACTGCAAGTAACAAAAATAAGTGTTCAAGCTGGGTGCAGAAGGCAGTGCTGGCAAGGAGCAGGATGCCCATAAACAGTTATAAATAAAAACCCATCTCTCAAAGGAGAGGCATGGGGTCAATTCACTAAACAATAGCCATCAAAATAAATCCAGCAGGACTGTCAGAAACTCCTAGTTCATCCTACAAGGTAAAACTCTTTCTGGCAGAGCTATGCTATGGAGGTTAATCAGCAGAGTTCTCCACCCTCAGAGCCAGCTGCTCAGCTCTCCGCTGCACACGTACTGCAGACACTCCTCACTTGGTATCTCAACCTGTGTCCATTAGGGTAACTGTAAGCAAATGGAAGGGAAAGTAAGTGCGAAGGGAACAAGCTAACCTGGCCAGTAGAAGGGACCATAGTTCAGATCACAATGTAGGAGTTCAGTTTGCTGGCAGGTAGCCTCCGAAAAGGTCCCCTCCCTCTCTGCTTTTTTTTCCTCCCAACAGCCATTTTCAGCTCCCACAACAAATCCTTATCAGCCTCATCCTTGAGCTTTTTCATCCCAGGCAGAATAGGCTGCAAAGTCTCACACAATCTTCACACGTTGTCCTCCCCCCAAACAGGGGGAAACTTGTGCTTCCACTGTAGGCAGCACAATGGAGGAGTAGAAATACTTGTGCTCCTTTCACCTGTGTTACTGTTCTACACAGCAGGCAGCCACTCCATCCCTCACAAATATTTGTGTGCTTGTGGCTCAAAGCAGATAGGATGGCTCCAGCTTGGGTAAGCACTTTTAGGGACTCTCCCAGTCATGCTACATAACACATGTGTACAGCACAGAGGTGCCTGGAGACACGTCCTTTGCGTGTGAGTGCATTGTGCCATCAAGATATCCAGGTCTGGCAGTGAAGCAGTCCTGGATAGACCTCTATGTGAAGAACAGGGCAGACAGCATCCATCTGCTCAGTTTTCCTGTGCATAATACAATGTTATGCCACACATTTCCAAATAATGAATAACACCAGGCATACACACACAAAATGGAAGAGACATTTGTGTGTGTCCTTACACACATTTGCGTCAAACGGTGCACTCCCCAGGAGACCAACCTGTTAGAAGCCATCCAGCCTCCCTGCCCAGATGATTTTCCATACATCCCAGGATGTGGTGAACCCAGGCCTTCTGGCTGACCTTGGTGTGCTGATTACAACCTATAGTTGGGAGCAGAGTCATTAGTACCCCCTTGGACTGCTGACATGAACTACTTAAATGTTTAAAGACCAACTATAAGCTAAACATTTAAAGGAGCAGGAATTCATGCAACAAAAATCTTAGTGAACTGGATGCAAAAACATCACGTGGTCCTTACACCAACAGCAATCACATTTGTGCATCAATATGGCACTGTAAGAACGAGCTGTGCTTGTTTTGCCTTCAGTATTGGTCTGTAGATGTTACAGCCTTTATAATTGTAAGAAGCCAGCACCCTGTGCGAACAAAAGATGTGCACAGGTAAAGTCATCTGTTCATTTATTTTGAAAGAGGGGTTCATATATTGACGACAGAAAACTGCATTACTAGAAACAAGCATCCCAGGTAAAGCAGAATGTATCAGCACAGCCACGGCAAGGGGTTTTTGCTGCTCCTCTCAGCCACCCCAATGTGGGGCTGGCTTCCTGCAGCAGCACAGCATCAGAATAATGGAAGAGGAAGAGAAGCGGCACTGCACGCAGCCTGAGGTGAGCCACCCAGCTGCACGCAGCTGGAGACAGTTTGCTTTGTGCAAACACCATGATCTGCACAGGAAGGGGGTTTGATTCAACATTTATACTTCTGTGATTTACGACTATTTTAAGCCCTCAGTAACAGAGGGCTTCCCTGCCCAAGGCACTGTTTGCCTTATGTCACTTTGCAGCAATGGGGCCGGAGCTGCCTGCTGTCCCTCCCGAGACACGGAGCAGCAGCTTTTCCTCATTCAGACAGAGCCGCACAGGGCTCTCCCCTCCGCAGCTCCAAACATACCCAAGGGACATTACATAGGACTCCCTGACCCAAGATTTTCTATTCTCACCCCCAGTTGTTTTCTTTGGCTGGTTTGGTTAGGGCTTTTTGCAGATTATACAAGGCTGTGTTATCGTTTAGGGCTTTCAGAGTCTGTCTCAACATTAAGAGTGGATGATCTGAGCAGCCACAATGCTGTCTGCTGATGGTATCAAACAATAAATGGTGTCACTATTACATATCAGAGCCTTCCCTGCTGCTCCTGTACTTGTTTCCAGGAGGAAAAGGCAGTGATGTTTATTTTTCAGCATGTAAACAAACACATAACTACCTCGTGGCATTTTCAAAGAACAGAGTATAATAAGCATCTAACGCTGACTTGATTGGGTGTTAGACGTCAAAACACCATTAAGGAATTCCAGTGCTCAGAAAGCATTTCTGCATGAACAGCCAACTGCTTCAGGTAGCCTAAGGCCAGCAGCCAGCGGCTGGGCTCTTGCATCTTTTCTTTTTAATGCTACTGCAGCCTCACTGAACAAGCAATGCTGTGCCAGGAGAAAAACCTGGATGCCAGCTTCTGTTAGAGCAGCCGGCTGTGCTGAGATGGAAGGTGAGGGTAGCAAGGGTCTAAGGCTGAGCTAAGCTCTCAGACTCTCAACAGAAGCCAGACACTAAACATGTGCTTTTGGTTAAAAACAAACAAAAAAGCAACACTAACCCCAAATCCACACCACACAGATATTCCTGAGTCCCAAGTCACATAGGAAGCCATAGAAAGCTCTTTGCCACTGACACAACAGGTCTGTATGCCAAGCAAAATGGGTTAGTGACAGCTGTGAGGGTGCTGAGCAAAAACCAGATGCACACACTGAAGAACACAGGCAACATCTCTGGCAGCCTGCCATTATAAAAAGAAGGGAAAAGAGACCAAGTCTAGCAAGAGCCATGTATTTTGCAATAGTTTTTGCAATATTTATCAGTGCTTTAGCTCTGCTGTCCTCAGATAACCACATCTAACCAAGTATAGAAGTGTCAGAAGGGTTTGATTCAGTCTGGCCTTAGACAAGCTCACACAATTTGGGACACCACAAGTCAGCACAGGTGTAAGCTTCTTGAGCCTGTATAATTCCTATTCACAGCAGGGTTACAGTCAGTGTTGGCTGAACATCCTCTTGGTCCTCAAACTTAGCAGCTGCATCCAACTGCTCCAGTAGTAAGGCAAAGCCTGGAAGCACCCATTCATTATGTTTTGGCCTCCTACGTAGGAAGGGAGATACACCACAGTTTGGCTACAACAGAAGAGAACAGTAAGTCAGATTCCACAGAAAGAAAAGGGTAAAAGCCACAATCCATATTTATTCCCCACTCCACAATTTTCCACAAGGAAGCGTTGGCATTTGTTTCATGGTCTCTCCAAGGCAGTTTGTTCTTTAGCCAGGGTGGTCACCAAGACCAAGTAAGCACCAAGATTTATTCCCCATGAAAGCCAACATTTGTCAGCCTAAGGCAAGCATGGTGCCAAACACATGCAGTTCCCTATGAAAGCATTCAGAGATGACTTTCTCCTCCAGGTTGTGAGGCCCAACATTTGCCTCTCATGATTTCTGAGTTCCCACAGCTTGCTGCTCATCCTGCAGCACCCAGACCCAACAAAATGAGCGCACATTGCAGCTTCCTGCCTGGGAGGTATGTGTCCCCCCAGTTGTTAATATCGCCTTCCCCTTGTGAGAAGGCTGACAACATATATTCTTGCTTCAGAAGTCACTTGAAAGTCACCTGAACCTCCTCAGCTGGCAGCAGGGTTATCAGGAAACCTGGACGTAGACCAAGAAACAGATGAGAATCAATAACACCCAGCTTACAAGGCTGAGCAATAGGTAGGATGGGGAAGCTGTCCAGTGGAGAGAGGAAAAAAAGGCCTGGAAAACTGTCTTCATATTTGTTGGCCTTGAGCTCAGTGAGATGAAGGCAGGTATGAGAAGAACAAACTGAGGGGTTTGGCTGGAGTTTAGAAGCACCTTTCAGGATTGTCACCTCGAGCAAGGTGATGAGTATGTGTCCAGACTGTCCTTGTACACCAGAGAGAGAGTAGGAGAGTTGCATGATGCAGCATCAGTGTAAGAAGTTTTTAGGAATCCGTAAGCAGGTATCACAAGGGGAGTCGAGCTGCAGAATTGGTGTCAGAGGAAGGAAGGGCTTGAAGGGGAGAGAGAGATAGTGGTAATGGACTGGTCACTGAAAAGCTGAGTGGTGATTTGATGGACAGTGTTAAATGGTACCAAGTGATAGGAGACCTTGGTAGCCAAGAGTAAAGCACCACTCTCCAGGTGAGGGAGCCTTCTGGAAATCTGGATCAGCTGTGTGCCAGAAAAGGTATCAGGAAAAAGGAAACATACAGGTAGGAGGTCAAAGAAATTGAGGCAGAATCGTGATTCTCTTGATACAGGCAGCACAAGCGAGAAATAAATCAAAGCAGAAAACCAGTGCAGAAAAATTAAGCAGACAGAGGGCAGCAACACTGGAAGGAGATGGAAAGAGTACCTCTGCACATCCATGCAATTTAGGACTAGAGGCATTGTACAGCAGTTTTGGCTGACAGTCAGGCTGTAATCTAGCCTTAGTCACCCTTTACAATTTTTCTTTAAAGTTTAAGATACTTTTGAAACCTTGAAATCAATTCTGAAAATTGGTTCGAACTAAGGGAAGTAGCCAAGGAAGCCTCAGTGCAGAGTAACAAATTCAAAACTCGCTAAGTAACACGGGACACAATAACAACTGTGCACCGAGGTACTTTTGATGGACAAGACCTCACTGGATTATAAACTTCTTCAGGCCTATCTTGAACTGAAGCTTTGCAATACCTCACCACTGTGCTCCTTTCTTCTCCCACACAGGGATGTGTATGAAGCCAGCTAATTCCCCTCTTCATCACTCCCCCCACCCAAACTCACTCATTTCTACCTGATGCCACAAGCAATGTGCCCCCTTGTGCAGATCCTGTCCCTGAGGCTTCTCTAAGCCACGAGGTGGTTTCACCAGCTTGCCTCCACTGTTGCTGTCGAAGTACTTACAAGCTCTGACCATGTTGTCTAGGCACACAGTGGAAGTCAGCACCTAGGGATGACAACATTAGTGCAGCTTCTGTAATGGCCATGAAACAAAATACATCTGGCGAGAAGTCCTCTCACCTCTGACCCCATGTAATCTTACAGGCTTCCTACATTCAGCCCACGTAGTTTTTCCAATTTGCCCCCGTTCCACAAAATACATATTTATGAATTGAAATGTAAGCACATGGTTTTTCTTCCTGCTTCCCATTTTCAATACATTTGCTACTCAAAACTGTTTTTTGAAGGCAAATTGCAACACAAATATTGTTCCAGTCACAGCAGTCTATTCCCTTACACTAATACAGAACAGGCAGTACAAGAAGTTGAATTCCTCAGCTGGTGTAAACAAAATGGAAGTAATAAATATGGTTACAGCTTAGGACCTTTGAATGGCTCTCAAATAGCCCAGATTATGAATTGTTTGAGATGGAACCACAGGAAATTTAATTTACCCTTACTACTGCTACAACTCACTTGCCGTAGCTCCAAGGAACATCTCATTTATAATAACAGATCAGGGAAGAGTTCCAGCAAAAAGAACTGAAGAGGCTTTAAAGAGCTGGAGGAAGGAGGATTTCCTTATCCCCAAGCAAGGGCTCCCCTGGCATCCCCCAAAATGAACTTGGCTTGAACAAGACTAATACATGATACACTGTCATTATAAGCATTAGAGACACCCAGAAGATTAAAAAAAAAAAAAAAAGCAAGAAACATTATATATATATATATTAAAATAAGTAGTATGCTGTTCCCAAAGGGGTAGAGGTGAGGAAACCCACTGTGTGCACAGACCTGACACCCTGCTTACAGCAAAGAGAGCTCACATGCCCTGAAAGGAGAAGATGGAAGAGCCACAGAACGATGAGGAGCAGACTGTAAGAACAGGAATCCGCTGGGCTAGGGCAGCACAGCTTCAACCTGCTGGCTGAAAGACACAGGAGAAGCCCAGAATGCTACAAGGAGCTGCTGCTGAGCTGTACAACCATTACAGGGGGACAACCAGAAACATTCACATGCCCCAAAAGTAACTTCGCATCGCCTGCTAGTTCTGAGTGTCCGTGTCAGCAGCTACTCTCTGATGGACCAGAATGACCTAACACCCACTAAGGAGAAAAGGAAGAAATTAAATACAAACACTTATTTAAAAGGAATAACTAAAAACAACAAAAAAAGACATTTCATCATGACTTTCATCCCCTCCCTCCTGTAATCCCCCAGCACCCCTATCCTCCTGGCAGCACCTCCCTGGAGCAGCCTGCACCTCTCCCACCACCCTCCTCCCCAGCTGAGGGCATCGCATGTCCAAAGGAGCACAGCCCCCCCCCTCCCAGCTGCCTCTGGTTGACCTGGCTGTTAATTGCAAACCACTGGCTTCTTCCCTTACCAGCCTCGGAGTTTCAGGGTTTCTGTGCCCCTTAAAGCCTCGCTGCTTGAACAAATTTCATTTTCTGTTAACTATGAATACCTGAGTTCAACAGTCAAACCTCTTCCTGTGTGCTGAAAGGCACCATCCATTTTTGAAACACTCCCTTGCATTTTTTTTTTTAAAACAAATTTGTTGAGGCTGGGCTCTTAACCCCGTGTGGTTTGCTTTCTGTGAGCAGCTGTGGGAGGGAACTGCTCCTGAATACAGAAAATATGCAGCGAAAATGAATTTCAGAGATGCGTGTTGCTTTGTTTACAGAAACCAATTTTAAAATGAGCCTTCAGCATTCACAGCGAGACCTGCTGGGGGATTGCTGAAAAGATGTTGAAATATTTTCCTCAATACATTTTTGATGAGGTTTATAGTCAAAAACTTCAAAACTGGAAAACTGGCCGTTTTCTTTTGAGCTCCAGATAAGATTGTAAATAACTTAAAAAAAAAAAAAATCATCCTTAAAATCTCCTTTTATCAGGCTTTTCAGAATTCCCACTAATAGTTTTCACCCCAATTATATGTATACCTGTGGCCTTTGGCCAGTTGTATTTCCTTCTCTATATTTACATGCTTGGGAGAGGTGGGATTGCTCCCAGGGATGAGCGAGCCCTTGGCAGAAGAGTGGGTCTCCTAGCTAGAGCCCTACATTTAAAAATCTGCTGCAAATCTTCAAAAAATCTTCGAGGATGCCAACAAACACCCTTCGACCCCTTATGCTATGGCCCTTGTCACCTGGCAGGGCTGCTTATTTATCTCCTGCTCAGCACCTCAGGGCCCATGTACAGAACACGCCTGAGAAACTCCTCAGCACCCGTCCTCAGCATCGTCACAGCTGCTGCCAACATTTTCAGTCTGAAACTTAGCTGCAGCAAGAAATGGTGGTAAAGACGGTGCTGAGCCCACTCGTGTGGAGATCCGTATCTGGAGATTGCCTGTCAGTCTTGCATCAAAGAGGCAGTGGGGAAAAAAGAGCTGAATACCCCTGCAGAGGAAGGAGGAAGAAGGATGCAACCCCGGTATTTCCCAGCAGAGCGCAGAGAAGCAAGAAGCACCCTGCTCATTCCTTTCGCAGTGAGAAATGCCTGAGAGCTTACAAGGCTGATGCTGCAGCAGCTGAGATTTCAGGACTTTTTCACCAGGTTTTCTGCCTGGGATACTGACAACTGTCAGAAACTTGCCTGGAAGCAATAAACTAAGCCCCAAAAAATAAAGCATAAGCGAAAGGCACAAGTGAAAGTCATATCTGAACAGGCGAGACACCGTGCCAAAGCAGTCAGCAGCCCAGTGGATATTTTAGACTGTTTAATCCCTCAAAGATATGCCAAATATATATCTGCAAGTCCTCAGCAGACAGCTCTGCTTCAGGGAGAGGCTCATGCCAAAGAAAAGCAATGTTGGTGCCTTCCTTCTGCTGCAGCTTCTGGTAAGCAAAAGTTATAATCTAATAATTGTCATACGGTGGAAATAATTGGAGCCCTAATGACCCTGTTCTACAGCCCAGCAAGTAGCGTTCCCAAAATGCAAAGCTGAATCACTTTATGAGGAAATTCCCCCACGTTTGAGGCAGCCAGCAGAGCTGGGGCAATGGATACCCAGCGCCTTCCCTTTGGTTTTTGGTAACATTTCCTGGCCTGCCTTGCTGGGCAGTGCCCCATATAGGTGCAGCAGCCTGAGAAAGGGGGTGACGCTGACGTGCTGTGCCGCTCGCCGGTGCCATGCTGCACCCTGCTGCAGAGATCTGCTCCCCTGCTGCAAACCTGCATGAGCCCAGCCCCAGGAGGCAAGCAGGAGCTGCCCGGCACCGTCTTGGTCGGGTGCCTGCTGCTGAAGCCAAGGGAGGGAAAGGGGCTGACTGCTGCCATGGCATGAACCCAAATCGCTGCCGGGGGAAAGGTCCCTCCTCGAGGTTTTTCCCTCCGCTGGGCAGGAGGCACGGAGAGCATTTTGCACGCTCTATTTTCCTGCCAGCTCAGAGCAAGGCCTGGGGCGCGGGTGTCATTCCGCATTGCTTTTCTCCGTTCCCTGCAAACCTTTAACCACCGCGTTTTCCTCCTGCCAGCCAGCGGACAGGAGTGAGACCTGGTGCAAGGCGCAGGCCGAGAGGCCAGAAAGACATTCGCCTTCCTTCCAAGCGCACCAGCGATGCGGGGCTGAGCCCTCGCTGGGATTTCTGAGCTGGTTGGGAATCAGGAGGGACCGGGGGGACCCGCACCCCCTCTGCAACCCAGCGGGTTGCTCGTGTACAGGCACAGCGGGGATGAATCCCCCCGCCCCTTCCCGGCCGCTGCCGCAGCTTGCTGTCGCCTTTTTTCTTCCGATCTCTGCCGCCCTCTGCTGAGGCAGAGAGGAGAGAGAGCCCTTGCGATTAGCCCGAGCGTCAGGATTTTTGCTGCAAAAGATCATGCTCGTCCTCAGGAAAACGTCAGCGCGGGCATCGCAGCCCGTGTTCTCCTCCTCTTTGTCCCCAGCATAAGCTCCGAAGCCACGAAGCGCATCCCCGAGGGCGGTGTTTCTTCTTTCATCACGGCACGGTGCTTTAGGAGTTCATTCATCATCACCGCCTTGCATGAGGCAAATACTGGTTTAACCGATTTACAGAGAAGTAGGGAAAAAAAAAAAAAAAAAAAAAGGTGTGTGTGTGTGTAAGAAAAGGGTTAAAGGCTCTGGCTTGAAACCAGGCCCCTGCACTTCGGATTTTGCACCTGAATTTCTCCCTGCCCCTCAGGAACCCTTCTGGGAAATTTAGCCCTGAGCCATCTGTGGCTGCTAACAACCCCAATTCACAAGGGGCATCTGCTTCCCATCAGCAACCCCGTGATGAGGCTGCCCCTTGCACAGGCTTGCCTGGGCCCTGTGCAGGTGTCATTTTTAAGTAAGTTAAGAGAAAAAATGAGTTTTTGAAAGAGAGAGGGAGAGAAACACAGTGACAAGCGAGCACTGCTGGAGCCACACAGCTACGTGTGTACATCAGGCACCAGCATTTCCTGAGCGCTGCTGTTCCCATCACCTGCTGCATAACAGAGGCTTGAACCGTGCGCAGACTGCTTCGCTTCTGCTGTGTGTGCAGAACCCAGGGAGGAGACAAAACCCCTCAGGCAGGCTCCTGTCTGCAGGGGCAGACTGAGAGCCTGGTGCCCAGCAGGAAAAGCTCCCCCAGACGCCTGCTGGAGAGCCACAAAATGCCAGCGAGGCTGCTCCCGCACAGATCCGCTCAGCCGTGGGAGGGAGGCAAGGCAGCACAGCAATCCAGCCCCTCGCTTCCCTCCTGCACCTCTAGGAACAATCGCTTCATTCCTCGACGCCCGAATCTTCCCCTCTGCAAAGCAAGAGCACCATTTCCATCGTAAAGCTGCTTGAGAGCTGTTGGTAACGAGATTTATTATTATTGAGGAGTTATTTAGTGCAGCTTTTAGATCCTGCATCATTGATTTTGCTTTACAGACTCAGTGGCTCCTGCTGCTATTACCGGTTAACTCGCGCAGGCCACTCGGTAGCTTCTGGATGCTGTTTCTCGAGCAGGACCCAGCGTGCTTGGAGCTGCACAGGGAGGAGCATCGGCTGCGACCACCAGAGGATTTGGGAGAAATGAGATCCTGAGTATTTCTGATGAGCTCTGTGGAAAGCGGCAGGTGATGGCAGCCCCTAGAGCAGGCCTTTCCTCATCGTTCCTGCTGCCTGTAGGCCCTGCAGCCAATTCAACACCTCTGAGCAAGCTCTGCCACGCTGCGCTTCTCTCCTCCATATAACCCCTTGGGAAGGCTGCAAAACAACCGTGCAAAGGGAGATGTCCTGGTCAGGTTTTGTTACTGGGTTTCAGGTGGGGAGGTGGGCACACACCTGGTTCACACACCTGCTGGCTCCAGGCCTTCGGCAGCTTGTGTTATTTGGATAGCAACTTGCAGTTTCCCCCCTCAGCACAATCCGTACCATTTGGCTTAGTGGGATTAATAACAACCAGCAACAACAAGAAAGCAGGTTTGCCACAAGCAGATTGCCTGAGCATCCTTTGTGTTTCTGAGCATGTGAAGGACAAGATCCTGAGTCACCAAAGAGAAAGGTCTCAGGAAGCCCAGACAAACCATGAACCACTCGGCAGCATTTCTGCTTTGTTTGCACGGCTGTCACTCAGCCGTACTCACAAAACTACGTCTCCCTCTAAGCAGCCGAGCTGCCAGTTTGTGGTCTGGTGTGAAACAGCACAAGTTCAGGATTGGTGCTGCCAGTGCTTCACCTCTCTGGCCATCAGTGCCTGGTCCTCACAGAAATCCCACAGCTTCAGTTGCACACACCAACTTGATGCTCTCACAGGCAATGCCCTGAGGAAGGCAGAAGATGCTGCCAAAGCCTGAGGTGCAGACTGTGCCCAGCTTTCCACGAGTAGGTGAGGAAGAGCATGCACACAACCCCTTTTCTATAGGTGCTAGGCTCAGCAATGCTTCTGACATATCCTCTGAATGCATCATCCCACCTTATGGTTGCTTTTAACCCCCAAACAAAATCCCAAGCAGGAGCTCAGAGCTTGGCTTCCAGCCCCCAGGGCTGGGTTTTCATTCAAGCACATTTCTGTGTTGCTCTGACCCCATTCACAAAGCAATGCAGGACAGACGGCGTCTGCAGGCAGGAGACGTCGCGGCAGCAGACGTGGAAACGGCCTCGTGGTACCAGGAGATCTGGCGTGCGCTGGAACAGCTCAGCAGCAGCACTGAGCCCTCTCCTCCCCAGGACACAAGAAATCATCGTTGAGCCACACTGACAGATTTTGATTTTCATATACTGGGTGAGAATGGTCAATTCTTAACAGGGTAATTGAAGTTCCTCTTTAATAAACCAGCATAAAGCATTTTATGGCTCCCGGCTAGCGTCCAGTGTAACTGAAGTTCAGATAAAGGCATCGACAAAGAAACATCTATTGCATCTAATGTTTATTGACCAGATATAAAAGCAGCAGGCTGTGGCAAGAGTTCTCCAGAGAGCTCGCTGCTTCAGCTCCAGTGGGGGATGTCTTTGCGTTTTGGCTGGCGCTGCTTTGCTGCACGCAGCGAGCGCCTTTGCAGCTCCCGTCTCCCCATGGGGAGATCTGAGCTCCTCTGTTTTTTCACCACCCGCTTCCATCCGTTATCGTGACGGCGGCTGGAAGCTGGGCACGAAGCAGCCTGCCTCGAATCAGGCAGCGAGGCTGAGCTTATCGCCGCCAAAACACAGCTCCCCGCGTGCATGGCTGGGCTGCCGCGCTCATCGCCTCACCCGAGGGGCTGCGGGAGCGCGGGTGCGGTGCAGAGGGGCCAGGTGGAAGCGCGATGCTGGAGCCCGCTGCTTTATTTAACTCCAGATTTCTTCGCCTCCCTACAGAGGCAGCTTTCTGCCTGCACTTCTCTAACGCTCTCTCTGTCTCAGCCCCAGGCATCACAACAACTTTGATTTCTTAAAGACAGACAACTGTATTTGTACTGCATTCTTTGTACCCACGAATATCGCAGAGGTGAAGACGGCACAAGAAATGAGACGGCCTTAACAAAACCAACCCCCACGCTCAGAGCCCTGCCACTGCAAGCTGCTTGTGAATAATCTGGAGTTTTCAGGTCAAACTAAAGGCTCGAAAATAACATCCTAGCATCGTCAGATGGCAACAGCACAGTGGCCTATTCCTGCTGTAATTTTTGCTGGAGAACAGACTTTCGCGGTTTCTGCTACCTGCTTTCATCTTCCCTTTGCGCTGCTTTAATCGTCTCTGCCCTCCTACCTCATTGCAACCACGGAAACCCATCCGTCCTGCTCATTTCTCCTCTGCCCCATCGCATCCCTCCCTCCCCTCCTCCTGAGCACCCCACGCTGGGTTCCCATTCCTTCCCCGGGATGAGCACCCCTCTTGGTTTCTCCTCTGCTCGCAGTGGTGTTTCCTCTACATCACTTCCAGCACCGTATGCTTCTCCCTCTTGCATCTGCCCCTTCCTCCCCACAGTTGCCTGCTTTTTATGTCCCTCCTTGCACTAAAACAGGCAGCCAGTTGGTATTCCCACCCGGGAGGAAGAGCACTGGGCTCCATTCTTGGGTACGGTTTTGAATTCCCATTGCTAACACAGCCAGTCTCCTCCGGTTACCCAAAAGGGAGCTCAGCAGACGAGTTTTCAGCTGCCAGCTAGGAAGCATCCTCAGGAGTATTCTCTATTTCTGTCGATAGCTCCTCCATTGCTGCCACCACACACTGAGATCATATATCCCAGTACTTTTCCAGGGGAAAAGACAAATTAGCTAGAATCTCGCAACTTTCAAGCGGCAATCCTAAATTATCTCAAGCCTAACAAGAAGCAGCACAAGTGCAGCAGCAACGTGACGTGGGCTGGCTTTCGTGCCCAGTATCTGAACACAACACCACAACAGGCCACACCTGTCCTGAGCAGCCACCAGCACAGACAGAGCGCAGCTCGGGGCCTAAATGGACTCGGTGGACGTGTTATAGGGGTGGCCTGCAGCCTACGGGAATGACATCTGTATACCAAAGGCCAGGAAGGGAGCAATTGTTGATGAGGACGCACTGGGTAGTATGGGACCTGAGCATGACACAAACGGTAAGGAATGAAGGGTGGAGATTGTTCTGATTTGGCACTGACCTTCCCAAGTAGCCGTGACATGCGATGAAGCCCCATGATGCTTTCCTAGAAATGGCTGAACATCTGCCTGCCGATGGGAAGCCGTGAACGAGTTCCTTATTTTGCTTTGCTTGCGTGCACAGCTTTTGCTTTATCTATTAAGCTGACTTGATATCAACCCACGAGCTTTCTCACTTTTACCTTCCTGATTCTGTTCCCCATCCCACTGCGAGTGGGTGAGCATGCAGCTGCACGGTGCTTGGCTGCTTGCCGGGGTTAACCCACAACACAGTTGCAGTCAGGAACGTCTCAAGGAAACTTGTAGCTTTTCATGCGGTGGGACACACGCAAACATTCGTCTTGTTGGCAGGATTACAACTTGCATCTGTGCTGCTAAAACGCAAATGCAGCTGTGGACCAGCTGAAAGCTCCAACCCTTACAATATGCGTGACTCAGTGGCCTTGGCCACTTTGCAGTTATACCAGGAGCCCAGTGGGTTCCCACCTTCAGCTCAGGCCAGCAGGATATACCTGGAGGCTGCAACATGACCAAGCAACCCAGTTCCTCCAGCCTAGGGCTTCAGGGAGCACTGCCTGGATTGACCAAGGGAGGTGAGGAGAGGTGAGGGAGGACAGGCAGCACAAGAGGCCCTGCGGATGTGTCCTACCAGAGCTGTCAAGCCCTCCTCACTCTCCTTCTGCTGCCCGCAGGCAGAGGCCCCTGCTCCCCATCCACCAGCCCTGCCCCAGGCTTGCAGGACACCTGTGGTCCCACAGCTGGTTCCACAGCTCTTCACCTGAGGCTTTGCAGAGAGCTGCCCGGGGTGCTCTGGCTGCAGCTTTCAGCCGCTCTCCAGTGCTCGCTTCCTGCTTCACCATCTGCTCCTAAATATATTCTGTTAGCGCAGTATTTCACAGGGGCTGTTGGTGCACAGAAGTAAGCAGGTTTAACAATCGCCATCACGCTGGATTTCTGAAAAGCCAAGTACTACGTGCAGCATTCCCTTCGGTGAGTTTAAGTGCTCTGACCTTTACAACTCCACAAAGCGTTGGGAGGCAGGGAAGGGGAAGCGTGGAGAGGAATAAACCCACCCACTGCTGCTGGTGCCGCTGCTGCCTCCCCCGTGCCCCAGGTGGCTCCTCTCTTCTGTGTGGGTTTGGCTGCACTCTGCAGACGTGCTGGATGCACCAGGCTCTGAGGCCGAACCCCATGGAAAGCACCAGGGCTCTGCCCTCAGGGCTCAGAGGGCTGTGGGTAAGTCACAGGACAGGAGGAGAGATGTGATCACAGTCTCCTCCACCCAAGGAAGCTCAAAACTCCCTCCATGGTAGGGGTGGGGACTCGCCAAGGTCCGCGGTCCCCAGGAAATTGCAGTGCTTGCTTTTCCTGGAAAATATACACGCTGCTTTTATCAGAGCTGGATCTCTGTAGTCTTCTGTGTTAACTCACTGCGCTGTATGTGATATAAAGACAGCTCTCACAGATGGACCTGTGTCCCTGCAATCACCAGCCACATGCCCGAGCCTCACCTCCCTTTGGCAAAGGTGGGATCCAATGGACAACAAAGGTAACAGAACCTCTCCAAACCGTTAGACCGGGCTGTTTGCCTAGCTACACATCTCTAAGAGGCAAAAAGAAATTCCCTTCTAGAGATTGGCTGTAAATGGTCATACACATAAACTACAATTATGTATATGTATGTAAGCTTTATATATACACACACACAGTCTCTGTTTACACACATGCACACATTAAAGCCTTCGGCAGTGTTGATTGATTCCTACAGCCTGAGCTAGCTGAATTCCTTGAGATAAGGCCTCGGCACCTAATGGTATTCACTGCACTGGGGACATTACGCTACGACATTTATATGAAAAACCTCCTATTTTTCAATAGTTGAAACTCTTAAGGCCTTAATCAGGTTAGAGGGATTTAGAAGCTAGATTGTGATCTGCACCATGTTGGAAATCCAATTGCTTTTTTCTAACTCCCTAAAATAATGATTTGAAAAGGAAAGAAAATCCCACCATTCCAGCAGGCTTCTCTTCTCCATGTCTGCATAAGACTTGCTCCAGCAGCCGGGTGCCACCCTTCTGATTTCCAGGAGCATTTCAAGGCAGTACTGCAGGAAACAGATGTATTTTTATGGTAATCATTTTAACACCTTTGACATTGTTTTGTAACTACCTTGGATCCTGTTACGCTTCACAAAGCTGGAGAGAGAGATGAGGGCTGACAAGTCTAAATTTAAGGAGCAGGGCAGACCTGATTCACTTTCTGGCACTGTTGCTGGGTCCCTCTGTGAACGGGTAAATCTCTGGTGTCTGTGCAGCATCTCAGCTTCACTCAGGTCGGCCCAGGAGCCCTTTTTGCTTCAGCCATTTGTGCCAGGAGCAGCTTTCGTGGTGAGAAGGTCAGTGGCATGCAGGCACAAGGCAGTACGTCCCCACCACACGCACACAGGGTTGAGTCTGAGGCCATGGCTGGTCAGGGCTAATGCAAGATCTGCCCAGCAGGACATTGTGTGGGCAGGATAAGCCTAAACCCAGTGCTTTGCTGCAGAAATGCCTGTGCCAATGCGTGCCTCAGCGGCAGTGCCTGTGCTTGACAAGTGCTCTGTTTACAAGATCCACATATTAGCCTGTCTTTCTTATGCCGCAAGTATTCGCCAGGTCTTTTAGAGGGAGGAAATCAGTGGCAGGTTGATGATAACATCTGCAATGTGATTTTGTTGTTAATATTTCTGCGCTGTGACTTCTGCCACGTCCAGTGTCAGCGGTGCTCCTTGGAGAGGGTCTCCTCCAGAGCCATCTGCCTGCGTGGGTGATACCTCACCTACCCGAGAGGAAAGGAGCAGGGAGTCACGGCTGCTCCCTTCCCCCTGCCCAACCACCCGCAGCCAATAAAGGCTAAGCCAGGCTAAGGAAACAAATATCAGGCTGGCATACCAAAGATCTCACTGCCCTGAAACAAAGTAAATATCTCGAGTATTTACAGTACCAAAGTTATATTGGAAAATGTTCCCACGGAGACACTGACTCAATGGGAAGTGTTAGGGGGGGTTCAGCTAGTGCATGGACTCAAGGCCCTGCCGCAGAGCCTGCTGCCATCTCCTAAGGAGAGGAGGGCCAGGGACGTGCAGCCCCCAGCTGCCTGGGTAAAAAGCAGCAGAGCATTGCTAAGAGCTGGGGAAAAGAGTAAAGAATATTCAGCCTCCATTTGTCCCCAGTGATATAACTAAGGACCAGCTTATAATTCACATGCCTGCTCCACTGACCCCGTCACCCTCCTGCTCATCACGTTGCCAAATCCCTCGTGGTGCAATAGCCCAGGACCGTGGGGCCTCACTGCCCTGGCACACAGACTTCCCAAGACACCCCAAGCCCTCTGTGACCACGTTTTGCTGGAGCTTCAGGCCCTCCGATGGCTTCAGTCCCCAGCCGTGGAGCTGCAGGCTCTTGCTGCAGCGTCAGATCAGTTATTTCCCAACGTGCTCCTGACTCAGCCTCGGGGTGCAGCACGTAGCAGACAGAGGCTGGCGTGCCCTGCTCGGCACGCTGCTTTCCCTGAGCAACTTTCCTCCCAACGTACCTGATTCCTGAATCTCAAACAATCAGGTTTCATGAGGAAGGCAAGAAAAAGAAAGGCCTTAAGGGATTTGCTTTGTTTCTGGGGAAATCAAAGACTGCGAGGAACCAAGATAAATAACCCTCAGCAGTAGCGTGGAGCAGCTGCTCCGCACGCAGCACCCTTTCTGTATTGCTCACCCTCAGCAGACCGCACGGAGGATGTGCAGCCCTGTCCCAGGAGCCTCACACCTCTCTCACAGAGAAAGCAGCAGCCCACCTTCCCATCTCATTCACAGCCCTTCTTTTTGCCCTCTCAATGTACACGGATGGTTTCAGCTGCCAGTCCCTCTTCACTCCTCCAAAATCCTCCTTCCCCAGGTCTCTGCAGGCCCACCAGCCCCAGGGAGAAGCTGCTCACTGTTCCAGCACCGTGTCCGTGGTCCCAGCTCTAAAAGATGCTCAGGGAACTCTGTGCTGTGACCCAGGGGACTCCCACACTGAAAGCTGTTTGGTTTTTGTATCCCACACCCATTTTGTGCTGGGCGATTCTGGCCGGGGGAGCAGGGCTGCAGAAAGCAGCACGGTGAGGGCAGCTCCTCAGGCCAGCCACCAGAGCAGCATTTCTAGCACAACAGGTAAAGAAAGGAAGGAAAAATATCTATTTTCATTCATATATAAAAGTAAAACCTTCCTAGGCTTAGAGTTCCTTGACTCATTTTGCTCCTCAGACCCACTCCAGTGCTTTCAGCCTGCTTTTGGGGATGGGTTGAGAAGGATTCCCCTCCTCAGTTATTTCCCAGCAGGTAAAGTCCAGCTGTAAAAATATCCATGTTTACAGCTTCTAACCACATCGCAGCTACCAGCTCATCCCAGACAGACTGGAATCAGGATCCTTCGACATCCTCCCCGTGCTCTGCCTTCCCCTCCTGCTACTCAGTGCATCTGGTCAGCCAAGGAGCTCTCTGAGTTTCCCCACTTGGTGAGAGAGCATTCACGTCCCACTTTGCTGCAGAACGGCGTGTAGGTGTTTTCTCATTGCCAGCCACCCCCTCAGCTCTCCCGAGGGGATGCTCACGTCCCCTGAGCTCGATCTGTGTGCCGAATCCACCGACGCTACCGGCAGTCTGAGCATTTATTGCTAATAACACGATTTCCTGGGGAGTGGAGAGGGAAAGTAACCCAGACAGCCAGAGGAACAAGCATAGACCTGAAATGATGAATCAGAGAAACACAGGATCACCGAGTACAGCAGGGCTTACCGTAACCACCTCCTCTAAGGCAGGAAACCACTCCAGGGCTCTGTGCCTTGCATTCCTCTCCATCAAGAGGGGGAAAAACCTGCAAGTACTGACAAGGGGTGGACTCAGACTGCAGGATTTGCCGTAAAAGGGGCAGCTTTCAGTCTTGTTTTGGCCCACCAAACTTTGGAGCAGAGCTGGCTGCCCAGCAAAGCTGCTGCAGTGTCTGCATCCCTGCATGGGGCAGATGGAGGAGCCGAGGGGACAGCAGCTGCTGCAAAAGCCAAAAGGCTGCACTGCTTGCAATTCATCTGACTTACAAAAACGAACTCACCAAAAGCAGCCAGACTGTGGCTAAAAATGTTTACCTCCCTCACTCTTCTGTAAGCTTAACATTAACAGCAATATTGGATTTTATTTTTTATTGCTTCCAATCTGAAACTTCACTTTCTAAATTCCAGCCCAGCCCAGCCTTCCACCGCTGAGTTACAAACCCTGAAATTAGACACTGAGGGATATGTGACTGCAATAGAAACGATGGCACTGCCTCAACTCAAAAGGGACAGGATCACGGCTTATAAATATCTTCAAGGTGACAGTATATGAGAAGGCTGGGAATTATGAATATTTTTAACAGATAGCAGGAGAGGGAGCATTTGCTTACAGGTAGTGCGGAAGGAAAATATCTGTAGCCAGGGGGAAATTCTTGGTAGGGAAGGGGTAGAGAAGCTCACTAACAGAGGCACCTTGGGCCTGTTTTCTGCCACTCAGCTGATGCAAAGGCTGCCGGTGGACAGTGGGGCCAGGCCCCTTTCATTGGCCATGCCATGGCTCAGATTTATAACCTGGGTACAGATTTATAACCTGAGCTACAAAAGGACAGCAGGCCACAACCAGCCCACGTGTCGGCACACATCGCATTGCCTTCGGCTTCCAATGAAAGGTCACCAGTACATGTCATCAGTAAGTTTGTTTTTTCTCCTCCACATGGAACAGCAAACCCCACCTCTAGCCATCTCCACAGCATGAAGAAACTGAAGCACCAAAGGTAGGTGTGTCTGCTGCTAATTTAATAAATCAACCAAGGTCACAGCATCCCAACTCGTTGGTCTGCCATTGCATTTGCAGGCTGATTAAAGAGCACAAAAAGAGGGGGACTGACTTTTGGGTGAGGGTTATCACGTGCCCTTGATAAGCTCTGCGACACCTCGCTGCTGCTGTTGGACAGTTTGACCCAGGCAAGCCTGCAGCGTGCTGGCCTTTGGCACATGCAGTGTTGGGCTCACACAGAAATGCATGACCCACACTTACACCTGCTGCTTAAGCTGTGGAGTGCTGGTGCCTCCAGCCTGGTGTTTCTAAAAGGTGGAAATAAGACATTAGAAGAGATCACATTTTCTTTCAAGGACTTAACAGGTCGCTTGTATTTCTTTGCAGCTTCTCCAGCTTACAGCTGCAGCACAACAGCCTTCAGCAGCAGCACAACAGCCTCTGGGCCCACTCCAAATCTATGATTTTCTTCACAATTTTCCACGGCAATGCTTCACGCTGTCAGTTTATGTCTGCATCCCCATCATCCTGCATACATCTGGGCAGGAGGGAAGGGCTTGGGCAATGCTTCCAGCTGCCCTCGGCTTTGCAAGCAGCTTCGAGACTGCTTCTTTCACTACGGCTTCAATGTTTCTCTCCTGTTTGAGAGTCTCTGCACATGATGCTCTACTTTGGCTAATTAATTTTTAAAGAAGCTTTGTATATTAATGCAAATTCTATTAGTGATGCCTCTTGGCAGCCTGTGTATTAAATGTGATGCCAGTAGCATGACAACACTTGACAGTCTCCACAGTGGTAAATTACATATATTATTATTTCATGCCCCTTTTAATGCTTTTAAGACATATCCTTAAAATAAGTCAGGACTGTTAGCATGCTTCTCCTAAAGCACAAAAATATTGCTTCTTAATTTAGCAAAGCGTATGTTCCTATTAGAGCTATAGATGCCAGATAAAGACTGGCACACACCATGTGTGGTGTGAAATGGCGTAGTTGTGTTGCCTTCAGCGGGACTGCAGAGACCGGTATCAACAGAGACTCTGACCCGCTGTTCCTCCGTGACTGTACCTTGATGTTCCAAGCTGGGTGATCATCACCAGGGGTTAATCACAACATCTAATAACAAGCCCATCTACGCTACAAACTGTTTTTGTGATATGAGTTCAAAAATCTCTGCTCGTGTACCAGCCTCTAAAGAGGGGCAAAGGGAGATGCTGTGCAAGCGAGAATCACCACTTAGGAGAGTTCATCGCACGAAGCTCAGTGCCTGCGCTGGCTGCCTTGGATTCCACCACTTCATGTTAAGGGAGAAAAATCTGCTGACAAGTTGCACCCACAGTGAATAAATCGTGCTGACTGCTCGTCATCCAGCAAACCTTGGACACAGGAAGGGCACCGTGCAAGATCCATGCATAGATGATCAGAAGCAGGAGGTGTTACAGAGGGACAGGAAAACTAAACAGGGTCAGGGCTCAAATGAAGGGAACATCTCTGGGCTGCATTCATGGGATCAGCAGGGCTGAAAGCCTGGGATGGGTCAAAAAGCAAGAGGAGAGAGGAAAAAGAGGGGAAGAAGGAGCAGCTTTGGAACAGTTGTGGACACAGCTGGCCCCACAGGGATCACATGTGAAAGACCCTTTAAGCAGTGGGAACATGTTCCCCCAGAGGGGAAACAGAGGCTGACAATCACTGTGTAGCCAAATAAAACCCAACACATTGGCCAATGCCCTCTGCCTTTCCATGCCTGGTCCAGGTATTCAACACTTTACTGCTCTGCTAGTCCATAAAAGTAAAACTAATCAAAAGATCTCAGCCCCACGTAGGTGTTAAATGTGATGCCACACAATAAAACTTATTGATTTCTATTTGGTTGTTGTTTGGTTGTATTTTTTTTTTTTCTTTAATATATAAGGAAAGACATGCACAGAGGACATGGGAACACTACCAATTAAGCTCTCAGAAGCTGGGACATGCCAGAAGCGAGGCCACGTGGGTAACTTTAACTCAACCCTCCTGACCTTGAGCTGCACGGTCACACCCTGGTCTTTGTCCTGGCTCCCTGCCGCTCTTCGCTGTGAAATACTGGCTGTTTTGCTCCAGCAAATGTTGTCTGCCATCTCCTGCCTATGACTTGGTAACCTTAGCATCCTTCAAACGAAAGGGGCAGATCCACTGATAAGGTCAAGCTGCTCTCTGTCCTTGAGGTCTCTGTGGTTGCTCAGAAGACTTTACCTAGGTAAGACAGGTATTGTAACAGAAGGCGAGCAGGGCCAGCTGACAAAACATGGCCAGAAGATGTTACACGCCCTTGCAGAAATGATTTGTGACTGGATAACATTTTGCCTGTGTCAGGATCCAGCAAGATAAAATGGGTCAGCTTAGCTTTACGGCCGGCTCCTGCTACAGATGGACCTTCTGGAGATGTTGCTGCCTGCAGACATCTTTGGTTGCGCACATGATGCTTTTGCTTCCCCCTGCAGTTTGTCAGCTGTGACGCTTGCAAACACCACAACAGCAGCCAGCGCGCTGTGTGACCGCAGAGGCAGCTGGCTCTGCAGTGGGCAAGCTACTAAAAAAAAAAAAAAAAAAAAAAAACAGCCAAAAAAAAACAACCAAAAAACCACCACACTTCTGTCCATGTTCACTTGCATCTTCTCCATCCCCTTCTTCACTGAGAAATAGATAAAATATGTCCTTAGCCACATCAAAAAGGAAGGGAGAGGGGAAAAAAATAATAAAAGCATTGGCACAGCTGGGCCCAGGACCATGGTATGCTGCTCTATGAGTCCTCCCTCTTGCCCTCTGAATTACCACTTCTGTTCACGGCTTGCAGACATAGCGATCAAAATAGTGGAGGAAAATTATCCGTACTTTTCCCAGCTGTAACTATGACATCTCCAACGCCAGCACCTGCCCTTCCCTCTCCCTCCTTGCTCTGAGGCAGACGTTTCTTTTCCACTCACTGAGATTTGATTGGTGGCGAGAGACACTTTGGTGCAAAATCCTATTCTGAAGCACATGGCGCATATGAGATATCAATGGCAATCATCCCACCCGTAATGTCAGCCCTAAAGAGAGATTTAATCCTACGATATTTGAAGACTTTACAAGAACAAGTTTCCTTTTTTTAATTTGACTGTGGGATTTCCTGTGACTGAAATAATCTTCAAATTATTCTTTCCTGTTGGAAAGAAAATTTTGCTTTACAAAACATACAGTGATGCCTCAGAGCACTTCTTAACCTACCTCCTAGGAACAAAAGGTCACCACGAGAAAAGTGCAGGAAGCGGAGAACTTGCACACTGCAAAGACCAAATGTAGGTCAAGCCTAACCTGCTTTGAATATTTTTTTTCCTCTGCACTGAAGCAGCAGAGGTCAGCTCCTGCACAGGCCTGGCTGTGCTGGGAGGGAGCGTGGCTCTCCTCCACTTCTAGGCTCCTTTCTAGGCTGCAGTTCAAAGCAGCCCCAACTCTTGCAGCCAGCAGCAGGGCACAAGAATTAAAGAGATCTCAGCCCAAGCACTTTGGCTTTTCCTGAAGGATGGGGATGCAAAAGGCAGGCTTATCCCAGACAGAGCATTCATACAGTAACTGAAGCTAACTCAGATGGGCTCACACAGCTGCAACCAGACCTGAAGCTGCAGGATACGTGCTGCAAGGTGCTGGGGGTGTTGGTTCCCCATGGGTCCCAGCAGAATCAGCTCCACCATCAGGTCAGTGAGCTTGCCTCTGCAGACTGCGCTCTGTTCCTGCAGTGAACCAAGCTTTTCAGCACTGCAGCAGCGGACTTCAGGGACTCACTGAAGGCAACCTCCGTATCTCCATAAAGAGAGATTAAGGCTGCAGTCAGGAGCGCTTGCCAACAGCTCATTCACAAAGAGCAAGAAGTAGGGAAAAAGCATCCATCAACATTGGTGTAAGTGCCTGCTTGCTAAAAAGCAGGTGAAGCTTGAAACCTTGGAAGTGGTGTACGGGAGAGTCTTTGAAAGGCCTGATCCAGTCCAGAGTCTCTGGAAGTGCCTGGCACAAAGGGAACTCAGCAAACAGCAGTTTCAGCAGTGCAGTGGGAAGCAACTCATTCTGTGGCAGAAAGTGAAGGCTCCTGTGAAACACCAGTGTGGAAAAGAAAAAACGTAAGTCTTCAATAAACCCAGCTTTACATCCCAGGAAACCACTTGGAAATGAAAGTGAATGAAAATGCAACTATCCTGGATGCTGACTGGTGACTCTAGGGCAGAAAGGCTTTTTTTTTTTCCTCTCTCTCTCTAAAGGAAAGAGGATTTTGTCCAGCAGGGACAGACCCAACAACCAAGCCAAAACCAGCTCTGTAAGGCAAAGGCCCCTTCTCCCCAGTAGCCGATGACAAGACTTGTGGTGGCAGCACAAAGCTGTGTCAGAGGAGGGTCAAACAGGGCACTAGGAACAGTTTCTTTGCCATGAGGGTGGCCAGACACTGGGACGGGCTTCCTAAAGAGGGTGCTGATGCCCTGTGCCTGCTGGCATCAAGAGGCACCTGGACAACACTCTCAGTAATGCACTAACTTTTGATTAGCCCTGAAGAGGTCAGGCAGCTGGACTCAACCTTTAAAAGGCCCCTTCCAGCTGAGCTATTCTAAAAAGCTGAAATCCAGGAAAATCTATTGCCATCAGCCCCTTCCTCAGGTTGTTTGAACTTAATCCATCAAGGAAAATGAGGCAAGTTTCCTCATTCTGCCAGTGCCCAGCCTCTTCGCTGAATCCCCGCTGAGCCTTCCTGAACGTCTGTCAGTAGATGACAAAACGTTTCTTGAAGTGCAGCTTACAGATTGCTGCACAAAAATAGTTTATTTGCTTACAGTGCTGGGGATGCAGCATTACAGATGCTTTCAAGTCACTTGATGTATAGTACGGCTACAGCATAAGCTACTGGAGCAGAAAGCCTAAAAAGGGGGTGGGAACAAAAAAATTCAGGCTGCCTTTAATGCCACAATGTTTTTGTGTTGTTTTTCTTTTTTTGTTCCCTAATGTGACACAATAAGCTGCTTAGGAGCGCAGGGTAACGTGGCTACTGCACGGATCCCTTTATTGATAAAACAAAATTAAAACTGCATTTGTAATGGTCAAATGTTTCTTTGCATTTATAGAGTAACTTTTAACATTAAGCCCAAAGATTTTTCTTGACTATCTTAGTCACAAAATGGCTTTTGAGGAAGTTTCTGGATACTCTGTGAAACCCCAGAAGATCACGAATTAGGGCTGCCTACATCACAAAATTATGCTCATCAACTGAGTCAGCACTGGAACAAGATTAGCATTAAGACTTGATAGACAATAACAAGACGAATTTAAGGTACTGCAAAAAGTTTATTACGGCACAGATGCACCGTGCAATGGTTGGCACTGGAAAAATTACTACAGTGTGCGTTGAAAAGCTAATTTTCAAAAATGTTTTGCATCAACTTTGAACGCTTGAATGAAAAATGGGTGTTGCAGAAGTGAGAGGGTTTTGAGCCAAATTTTGCTTTTAGCTAGATGTGCTGTTACTGCAGCTCTTAATGAGATCTGGTCTTAGAGCTGAGAATCAGAGCAGTAACACGCTCTTTTTTTTTTTTAAAAAAAAAAAAAAACTGAAATAGTGTTGATTCAGAGCTTGGTGGAGGAGTAGAGTTATATAAAAAGAGCTCTAAAAAATAAATATATTTTTTACACCTGTATCTTGGTAGCTGTCAGCCTTTCATAAGTTAAAACAGGTCAAATTCTCCACAACCTCCTTCTCTGAAGTGACCCATTGTCATTTGGGATACCTTGACTTTTGCCTGCCCCCCAAAACCCCCTCAGAGAGCTGGCTCTTTCTGGAGGATGACAGCCCTCACTGCTTCTGCAGACCATCTCCTCCAAAAGCGGGGACATTATGACATCCACAGCCAGAGGTGACCAAAACTAGGGACCATTACAATGATATTTCTACTCTGTGAGCACCCCTGAGGCCTCAGACCTTTAGGGTGGAAAGAGCTTCTACCCCCAGAAGTGGGTCTGTGCCCCTTTGCTGTACTTAGCCAGTGGGGGAACATCACTCCTTCCAGCACTTGCCATTCAACCTCCTTTCTCCAAAGCCATTCTGCCTTGTTACTGTTTTGCTCCAATTTTAGCCATCTCTTACACGGCCGCTGAGAATCAGCTCCCCAGGCCTCCCCTGGCAGAGCTAAATATGTTGGTGCTATAGGAAAAACAGCACCATATGGCAGTTGTTTGATCTCTGAGCAGAAGTTACAGTTTTTTTGAAAACTGATGAGCTCCACCTGTCTGGAAAGTTCTCCCCCTCCCAGGTACCGCAAGCTTGTTTGTGCACTGCACATGTCCCCGGTGTCCAGGATAGGGAAACTTTAGAGGTTTATTCTATTCAGTCACTAATTCCTGACATGTTACCCACAGGCTGCAGCAGCAAGTATTTGTCTTGCAAGACGATCTAGGGTTGAATTTTCCTCACCAGGAACATTCCCAGTCTTTGATACTCAGGCATCCATAGCCACTGTTTTTTTTTTCCTGCGTATTTCATGGGGTATAGACCCAAACTGCAGCCACTATATTTGCACATAACCTCAAGGACATTATATATAGCAGACAGTTCAACATTCAACTACATGATAGGGACATACCGCATTAATATTCTACTTTTAAGAACCTCGGACGTTATCTTGGGCTAATTCTGCAGGCCAACAACTCTCGTTGAATACATCTATGACATTTGTACCTACACTGAAATCACTTCAGTACAGCAGGACTGAGTCTTTCCTGGGACACCCCAAGGCACTCACTGACCTGCCCCACAGTGCCAACAGGAGGCAGATGCCCAGTTGGGTACGCTTTGTGCCTCGCATGCTGGCGTGGACTGGCTGCATCTGTAGCACAAAAAAGGCCTAGCTAAGACACGAGGAGAGGGAGAGTAAGCATGATTTTCCTGTGCAAGATGCTGGCTCTGCTTTCTTTCTTCATGCTGTGCAACTATTTGCTAAAGGAAATCATTTTGCTAAGACGCTCCACTTCCTTTGTGAAATTACCCTTTAAATGCTGATTCTCCATCTGGTGCACAGCTCCAGATTTTGAAAGATATTTAGGGACCTGGCTCCCAACAATTTCAAATAGATGTCTGACTTTTTTTAAAAACTACATTCCTCTGTATTTACGTGCACATATGAGTTTACCACTTGATTTTTAGTGGGGAGTCATCACTATAGAAGTCATCTGGAAGTCACGCAAGAAAGACTCAACCTTGAAACAAGACGCAGATCATTTACCTTTTGACCACATCTGCCTCCTACACAAAAATAATAAGTGGGTTACACCAAAGAGTTCACCTGTTTGTAATAGGTTCTCAAGCACAAACACAAGAAAGACAAAAACCTCTTCTCACCATGTGCTTCAGAAGAGGGCTTACTTTAGATAAATTCACTTGCCTCTAACATCTGGCTCCCAGGAAGCTTGGCTTGTAGAAGTACCTACTTCCACACCAGCCGAGGTATGTGGAGTGAGTGGAAGTTGGGAACTGCCTCAGTAAGGACTTCCCTATAGGTTTGATAGGAGCTTTGACAGGCATCTTGTGGGGGGCAGGCATGGAACCACAAGGGTAGGGCGGAAAGGGCTGGAGACACCAAGACAGGAAGTGCTCTCTGGTCTTCACTGAGGCTCCTGGACCTCCACCCCTCACCGCCGCCTTCACTTTAGCCCTATGACAAGTCCACAAGTCACTGATTAGAAAGATGCCTTGATAATAAATAGTCTTGATAGGGCTGAGCTGCTGACTGCTTGCACATTTTCTCCTTGTCAGTAACTTGGAAATATTGCACCTTTGCCAGAGGAACTCCAGGAGTTAAATTTCCCTGGACTGTTCATTTTTAAACAGGTCTTTTTTATCCACATATTTTCACACTCACACCATATTTATACATGCATTCACATTTTGAATCCTTCAGGTTCTATAATTTAAAGGAAGTTATTTTAAAGACTCTTTAAAAAGGAAACACTTTTTGAGTCATCTATCCATGAAGTTGAGCACTTTCACTATCATGAGTCTATCCACAGAGGGCTCCAAGGGAGACCAAACCTAAAATGAATAGCTGTCCTAAAAACCTTTTGAGGTGTGAACAATAATTGAAGACCAATCTGTAAGAATCTTTCATGGCTGATGAATGACTTATTGGAAATTTGAACTAATCTCCCCATAGGTGAAGGTCCCAAACAGCTTTCTTGTTTTTTATATGAAGCCTGAACTCAGACATCATGGCAAAAGCACATAATGCATTTAGCACAAGAAATGTAACAAATCACTGTAAGTCAGTCGTATATTCTACTTTTCTGTCACCATGGGATCTTCCGGAAAATTGGAATCTCACTGCAGCTTTCATTTCTCATCACAGTTCCAACAAATTGCCATGGAGCCGATATGCGGCTGTTTTAAATTTTCTGTTGAAGCAACTAATTCAAGCCCATCGTTCACCCTCTGTATAAGGATTAAGATTCAGCACAGTGCCAGATTTTCTTCTTGAGTTTGCAAAGGTCTAAAAAGTTTGCTCCAAGAAATGATTAGCTCTTGCATTCACCCTGGGACCTGTTCATTCTGCAACCAGATGACTGCCCTTCACGTTACCCGAGCTTTTGGGCACTGTCCCTCTCACCTCAGGATAGCACTGGCAAAAACTGAACCACTTAAAATCACTTAAAACAATGTAGTCAGATAAGACTGCACGTCTATGTTATCCTTTTCCAGAGGTCATTAAATAAAAACCTTTCACATTTGTTTTCTTAATAGCTTTGTATGTTTTGCCACATTTGGGTGAAAACTAGCAAACTGCTGCATCTCTTGAGAGATGACACCGATAACTTTGACATACAGCCTAAGTTCTGCTGGTGTTTAGAGAGTGGGGCATTTTTGGTCCCAGCAGCCCCACAAGACACCCATGTAAGCAGCAGTCACTGCCTGCAGACCACATTGGCACAGCAGCTTGGGAAGGGCTCTAACATCCCTCACCAGGGCTCTGGATAGTGCAGAGCATAACCCTGCTTCGCCCCTGGGAGCGGGCATTCAGGGAAGACAAGCAGCAGCCCATCCTTGGGGAGGCAGGGAAG